TTGCCCCCCCCCCCGCCCCTCTCCCACAATCGAAGAATATAATAATAGCCCGCACGTAATAGCCCGCGTGCACCGGAATTCAAGATTGGATTAACGTCTGAATGGGGATAACTCGATGAATGACTCTATAGGAGTTTCGTGTTGGTGCGTAAATTGAGCAAATTACAGAAGAATGCCCTTTCGGTGTTGGCTCGGGCACGGAGATCCCCGCACTGCCCCTATACACATGCCGATTTAACGCACCCAGAGGCTCTCACCTCGACACCACCCGCACACTGGTAGAAATTTTTTGGAATTTCAGTGGTGACTGCACTCTAATTTTCAATGTGAATTTTAATTCACTTCAGGATGCAAACGTTCATGGCATTCCTTAGTCATTTGGAATTTATTCATTTGGATTCACCGGAATTCATGAATTAATTGCGAGATTGAAATTGTTTGAAATTTTGGACTGAAGTTTGTGGTACATTTCTTCGAAATCAATCAATAAAAACTAAATTTCATTCCAATTATTCGCGGAAATTAATAGAAATCATAAAAATTCTGCGTTATTCAGTACTTGATATTCATGTTTTAATTGTAACTTTAGAATTCTTTTTAACTTTTAGTGGAAAAATCTCCTGAAAACCACTAGTCCACTATCCGTGAAATTTAAATTTTTTCCAGCAGCGCATGCGGACCTGACAATCGCCAAAGCATAAAATATTCAAAAAATGTCATGTCAATCAGTCGCAATGATTTTCAATCAGTGCACGACCCATGTCCCCCCGAGACTCCCGTCCCTATCCATCCCTTTCCCCATCCAAAAGCACATCTCCCCCTCACTCGCAAGAAAATCCAACGGCTTTTCGAAATATTGCAGCGCAACGTGAGCCCCTCGGGCGAGAAGATCCAACAAGTGATGAGTTGATTGAGTGATGAATCAGAGTAATTTCAAAGGGGAGATGAGAGTCACTGAGTTGCGCAGTGGACAAATGGTGGTAATTACATCCCGAGAATGAATGTAGTCGACGATGTATTAGAAAGTAAGAGGGCACCCGGGGGAGCACGCCTCGGTGGGCCCTTGTCGTCGCATCAAGCACCCAGTTAGTCTTTGAGAAGTCGTGCATTTCACTCGACGTCGCTTGTCACATTTGTCCTTGAACCTTTTGTTCACCCCAACTCCCCGTCTAAATAAATACTAAATAAAATCCCATACTCACTCTGTGGTTTACAACCGTCTCCCTTGAGAATAAGTTTGCCCAAGTTTCATTACCAAGTTTTATGTGGAATAAAAATGTCATCTCGGTGGTACAGTGTTCTTGTGCTTGGTAAGAAACTCTCCAGTGACAGATTTTTTTATACTTTATTACGGTGCAGTGGGTTTATCCTCAAATCATGCGAATTAAGTTTTTTTAGAATTCTTTTTCTGTGTTAATCTACTGGACTTAATGAGTGCGTGCAGATTACCCGGGGGAGGTTTTTACCCACTAGCCGACTTGCCCTTTAACACGCAATGTAATTTTTGCAGTGGTATACTCGTGATCGTATCGATAAATGAGGTCTTGGCAGGTAGGGTGAGATATTCATGAGGAAAGGGTCATTGTAAAAATAGAAATTCATTTGCTTTTACATTTTTCTTGATGGAATAATAGAAATCACGTCGTAACTTAGAAAAATTATTCTTCTTCGTCTTCTTTATGTTAATTTTCACAAATTTTTACTCACTTTCAATGATGATATTTATACTGATTCTAAATTAATCTCGGAAATGAGCGATTGTGGCAGAAAATGTCAACAAATGGTTTCATTTTCATTTTTCATTGTGAATGGAGAGAACTCTACTGGAGAATACCCACGAATTTTAGCAATTGTGTAGTATATTGGACTCTCAGGATTTTTTAAAAGAAATTTAAAAGAAACTGATGGTTTTACAAAAAAAAATTATGGCTTCTAGACTTGTCTCATAAATTCCTGAATTCAGGAATAATTTTTGACAATCAATCAAAATTGAAAAGACTTTCCTCTCCGCGTGAAAACAATTCTCTCCATTCATCTAGCCTCATCATCTCTTTGTACGAATATTTCCCTCGAATTTTTCCTTAATAACCGCTCGCACAGCCTCAAAAAAAAAGATATAATTCTTATTCCGCGGATGTACCCAGCATACACTATAATGCACCAGGGAAATCTCATTTAGTACTTACCACGAACATACGCGAAACCAGGCACTATAAAATGAAACGACTAAAAAGAAACGCCTGTATAAACTCGTGATAATCAAATGGAATCGATCATGCAACGTGTGGTAACAACAGCGAGACCGCATTCGCGTGGCAAAAAAACTGCCCCGATCAATTTTTAATCCAACTCGCACGGGAAACCGTTTGCTCTCTCCAATTTCGTGCCCATACCGCTGTTCAATTTCAATGGATTCGTTGGGAAATTAAAACGGTGAAAAAATATGTGTAGCCGGATAGCCTCCTACACTGTATCGATAGTGACATATTGCTGAGCAATCCACTAAAAAATGTTTTTTAATTGGAAACAAACGGTTTTCGTGGAAATCAATGTGAACTTTCTGGTGTGACACTTTTTTTTTTCGTTCCCATTTTCATCGTCCGGTCTAATCCCCTCATTTGAAATTCGAATTTTGCGGGGGAGAATTTTAATGAAGTCTCGTTTCCTTTACAAATTTCTTTCCCCTATTCCCATTCACCCTCGTCCCTCCTGAGAAATTCTCATGATTTTTTATGCTCTCGAAGAGGTAACGGAGTGAAAGAATCACACGGAGATTGGTTTCTTGATTTTACGAATGCAGCAGCTTTCAGCCGCTAATACTCCCATAATTGGGGCGCTTAATCCCGAGTAAAAGTCCCAGGGGGCAACAAAGGACTGCTTGCCACTTTATTGGATTTATTGCCTCACAGGGACTGAGTCGACTCGCCTAAACGACTCCTCAGGATTTCATTAACTTTATGGAAAAACGCCATTACCGCAGTGCCCTGATTTTTCTTCTCGTGATTTTTTTTTTGTTCAAGGTATTTGGATCTCATCCTCCTGGAGCTTTAATGGTGCCCAAACGACGGTGAGGACTTACCAGAATAAGACGGTGGTCCTGCCGTGCCACGTTGACAGTCTTGGTAAGTGCTCGCATGGCACTCATGAATAAAACAAGACTTTTACGGAAACGATTCATCAAATGGAATCTTGTAATTAAATTTCGGAGAACGGTCCAAGTACATTTCTCAATGTGTTCGTTTTTTATCCGGAGAATATTTTTTTATGAATAAAACAAATAATGGAAATGTTTTGAAATTAGGAAGATAAATAAATTTATTACGAATTCGAATTAAATTATTTCTGAAGTGTGACGTTGATGCATCATTAATTATTCTTGAGGACGGGTTTTAATTTTTCCGTCGATTTATCAAAAAGTGAAATTTTTTAGAATTTGTAATTTAGGGAGTATCACAATGTTGTTGATTTATGGAGAATTTTTATACCCCTTTTTTTATTCGTAATATTCGGGTTCTCGTTGTTCTTTCTGTTGCCCTTTTTTGCCTTCTGGGAGTTTCACGTGTCAATTCCCCGCGGGAAATGAAAGCTCTCGTGGAAGGGTCCGATGACTCTGGGGGGCAGTTTCGCTTGGCCTCGACGTAGGCTGAAACGTCCTCGACTATTTGCATTTCATTCCTTATTTCACTCCAATCGTTTCCACATACGAGAGTGCTAAAGAAAATGGACTTTCTTGCGAGAGATCTTCGAGGGATCATTTATTTCATAGTGTTGAATTTTTCAATTCATTTTTTACGGGGAACCTCAATAGACTATTTGGACACGAAAAGTTTAATAACATTTTTGTCCATCACCATTGAAAATCTCAAAATCTACAACTTTACGGGGAGAAGGGAGTTTATCAAGTTTTGTCAATTGGTGGTAAAGTTTGGAATATTTCTCATTGTTTGACATTTTTTCTGATTTTACGTAATGTCTGACCGAATCTGTCAGACTGACTACCGCGAGGGATGTCCCAGGAAATCGGTGACATCACGTATGAAAACATTCAATACAAAATCTAGCGAATTCGCTAGAAAATTCTATTTGTTTTTTGCGCTGATTCTATTGGATATTTGACAAGAAAAAGTCAATAGATTTCGAATTTCTGTTTAAAGTTGTCTCTCGAGATTTTTTCTATAAGAATGTGTGGACATCAATTTTCCAAGTTCTCTCCACTCAGATTCTACAATGCAAAACAAAACAAAATCCAATGAAAAAAATTAGAAAATTTTGTGCCCAATAATTCTAATAGAACAAATTTAAGAGAAAAATTCAAACAGAAATTCGAAATAGAATTTTTCAACAGAATTCCAATAGAAATCCTATAGAAACCCTATAGAATTCCTATAGAATTATCAAATTTTCTAGCGAATTCGCCAGGTTTCCTATTGAATTTTTTCATGCGTGATTTTTCTGAAAATCAAAACTTTTTTTCTCTCTCCAAGAGGTCCTCAAAAAAATACCCTTAATTCCAGGGGTACCTACAATAGTCAGATGGTGGAAAGACGACCGCCAGTTAGCTGACAGTGGTGACCCAAACTTCGTCGTCCCCAACAGAATGAAGATGTGGGACAACATGAGTCTAGAAATATCGCAAGTGCAGCCGGAGGACTCCGGTGAATACGTGTGTCAAGCGACCAGGCCATCATCCTGGGGGCACGTCACTCAGGTCCACGCGATCGAAGTCATGTGTGAGTCGATACCCCTCCCTCCCCACAATTGAGTTGCAATGATGGATGATATGTATACCCCTTCGAAAGTTGCGGTCCACGCTCCCACGAGGATGAAATTCGAGACAAGACAGTCTGGAATTTTCATCTGGCAATTCTCCCGTGGAATTTCAACTTTTTCATTCTGCGTTTGTCTCCTCTCAACCTTGACATCTTGAGTAGACTGTGCAATGGCCCCCGGAGGGAACATTTCTCATAGTTTTACTTCAGCATTTGATTTTATGTCTCGATAGATCCCCCAAGTGTACACTCGGTGCCAGAAGCAGGCGAACTGGAGGTGAATCTCGGGGAGGAGGTGGAAATTGCCTGTATCGCTAAAGGAGTACCTTATCCCAGTATTTCGTGGAGAATGAAGGTGAAAATTGAATTTATGAAGTATTGGATGATTTTTAGAAAGTGGGAATCCGTTTTAGAGCGAATATTTATTGATAATAGAATAAAAACATTTTCAAGAATTAATTGCACAATTATTCTCGTAGAAAATTCAACTTCTCACAACAAAATTCTCTTGATTTCTCTTCTCTAAACCCCTTAATTTCACTAATAGGGGAGGATGGGGCAAAACGGCCCCCCTTCAATCGTCAATATTTTCCGATTCAATAATCCGATTGGGATGAGTTAGAGCTCGTTTTGAAGAATGAAAAATTATCTTCAAAATGAAGTTGAAACTGGGAATTTTCACAATGTCATTCACAAGTTATTGACAATTGAAGGGGGGCCGTTTTGCCCCACCCTCCCCTATTAATAAATCAGACTGAGCAAATAAATTTAACCGATTAAAAAGAATGAAATGCAATGTGGCGTTGATTTTATCACAATTGTTGTTAATTTATCGTTAATGCTAAATTTTTACTTTGAATTCGGGACAAATGAGTTTAAAATTAAATATGTGACTATTTTAATCGCTAATTATTCTATTTAGCGCATATAAAAAATTTATCTGTCTTTTATTTTGCCGTTAGGAGATTTCATATTTCAGTTCACAGATAAAGAGCTTTCCAATCTAATCAAAATTTGAAACACTTATCCAACATATAATTTTGTTTCTCACAGGATGAAGAGATGAAGCTGTTGGACGAGAGATCAAAATTGCGGTTTCAAGCGGACAATCGAAGCCTGTCTGGCCGCTACACCTGCGTTGCAGACAATGGGGTCGGTGACCCGGCCACTGCCGCCATAGAACTTCGCATTTGCTGTGAGTTGAATGTTTACACAGGCCACATTAACCATCTCCCACGAATTTGCGTCGAAATAATATTTTCAATTACTCTGTCCTTCACCTTCATCAATTTCTCGAATTTAAATCTGCGTTTCGATTTGACCCCGCGCCAGTTAAGCCTGAGGTTGACTCAACACGTGGACCCGGGCCAGCCAATTAGCTAGCCAGGAAGCAATCATGCAAAACCACGTGTGAATGTACACAGTGGGAGAAATTCGCAATTACAAATTCTATCTTCGGATAGCCACTGTTTGATGAATGTCATTAATCAAATACATGGAGAGTTGTAGTTACTTTTGTCAAGGGCATGAGAATTCGATGGGAATAGAGCAGGAGGAGAAATTATAAATCGAGGGATGAATGCAAAATTATTCATAAAATTAATTGTTAGGTATTAATTCATTATTTCATTTTATTTATTTTTGTTTTATTTGTTTTATTTATTTTTATTTTATTCACTTTTCATTCGAAAGAGCTTTGAAGATTTATTTTGAATAACAGTTTATGAAATTGATATTTGATGCTAAATATTCATGTTTTCATTGACAATTCAAATAAATACAGGAATTCACGTCTTTATGTTCCTCAAAAATTTTCAAACTCTTTCATGTGATCAACTACCATTTCAAATACATGTTTTATCTATCGATTTTAATTCTTCTCAAATAATTCATCAATAACTCATCTAATTTTCCGTGAAAATCAGAATTATTCTCTTTTGAAATTCATTTACCAATTGAGGAATTCCTCTCTAGAATATCAATACTACTCCTCTCGCAAGTGCATAATAAACTTCAAACTTCAGTCAAAAAAATCAGTAACTCCACAAATGAAAAATGTAAATTCAATATCTCCACGCGTCATAATCCCCGGTTTATCACTTCATCAACTCCGGTGAAAAAAAAACTCTCTCACCCCCCATTTTCTATAATTACCATGCAATTGCCCGAGCAATTAAGCAGCTCATTGATGAAAATCTTAATGGGACCCCGGTAGCTAACTGAAACGACATCTCCTCAATGTTAATGGTTCACCCCTCCAGACAAACCGGAGATTGAGCCGAAGAAGAGTTGGATCCACGCCTCCCCGGGGATCAGAGTTCAGTTAGACTGCAGGGTCAGTGCTTGGCCAGAGGCGCTCGTCGATTGGTACTTCGAGGGCGAGAAGATTCTCTTCTCATCGAGAATTGTCAAGCACACAGCCGACCAGGTCCACAGTCTCATCATCAGAAACGTGAGGTCCACCGACTACGGCTATTACCAGTGCAAAGCCTCCAATAATCTCGGAGTGAGCGAAGTTGCTATTGAGGTATCTGGGATCGCCAATGCCGCTGTGTTCAAGGAGTCCAATATCATATCGCGAAATGCTTACAATTTCATCTGGGAGGTGGACAGCTACAGTCCAATCATCGAGTACCAATTCTGGTTTCGCAAGTATTGGGTTCGTTTCACCATTCACCTGATATCATTTTCATTCTTTTATTCGTCTTGTGGAGTTGTAAAACGAGATGGATTTCAAAATTCGATATGAGTCGTTTAACAAAATCCCGGGCGATAGTTCTATCTCAATAAAAAAAGAAAAGTGCCATGATGACGAGAAAATAATAATGAGAGGAGAGAATGTCAACAAAACCGTCTCTTAATATTCTAAACAATTTCCTGAATTCTATTGAAAAATTTCACACCTTACGCAGATTTTTTTACAACAGAAATGTTGAATGAAAAATATTCTACGGAAAAATTAACAGAATTTGTTTTTTCCAACGAACTTATACTACTGAGATATTTTCTACGGAAGTGCATCGCCCTAAGTTTTCCCGGTTTGTTCGTTTGATTTTTTCAATGAAAAGAGAAAAGAGTGAAGTGAAAATAGAAATGGAATGAAGAATGGAATTAAGTTCCATGACGATAAAATAATAATTATGGACTTCATCATATTGCCTCGACTCCTATAAAAATACTGCATTCACAAATAAAAGCATTCTTTAATCTTCTTTGACACACACATCATCCAGCCAAAGGAAAAGTAAAAAACCCAGTATTAAACTTTTTTATCATCAGCCTTCGGAGCGCCGTGACTGGCACAAGCTCTTCATTCCGAGCGGCAGTGAAGCGATTGGACCACTCCATTCTAAGTCTTTTAATCTCACGGGCTTAGCCCCAGCTACATACTACGAGGCACTCGTTCTGGCTAGAAATCGCTATGGGTGGAGTAAACCCTCGAAAGTACTGAGATTCGCTACCGAGGGTGCACGTAAGTACTCACAATGACTTTTACAAATTTCGAAATTCATCCGCCTCGGATCACCAGAGCCCATTGTGTTATTATCAATTTTCTTCCCTTTGACAGCTCCCCACAAGGAGCACTATAAGGTCGAGGAGGTGTACGAGGAGTCAGCACCAGGTAATTGAATGTCATATCAAGTTGAAGTCTGTTTCCGGGTAAAATAGAAATTGCACTGTTGCATAATTTTTTTTCCTTGAATAAAATAATGAAATATCACAATTGAATGAAAAATATTAAATATCTATTTTTTTTAATGGAAAAATTGAGCAGTCAAGCTAGTTGATTAATTTCTCCTTATTATTTACAATAAAAAAACGTGCCTAGTATTTTTTAATCTAATTCTCGAACAATAGAAAAAATTATACATTTATAGAATGAAATTATGAAATACGAAAATTTTTGACAAATCAAGAAGTTAAAACCAATTGATAAATGTCTTTCCATTATTCATCAAATAAAAAAAATACATGTCTAATGATCTCAATTGTTTTTCAGCTGTCGTCCTTGGCAGCCCCGCACTCCAACAATCGTCATCAGAAACCAGCGGTGCGGATATCGCCACCACAACATTCATCCCAAGTCTGATTATCCTTATCTACTTCCTAAGCAACCTAAACCTTACGTAATCCCAAATTAATGATGGAATCTAATCGATATAAATATTCCTTAGTCTTTCAATAATCCACTCTCCCGAACCGAGTGTTATTTATTACAACTGAAAAAAAATTGTACAGTAGTTAATAAGTCGATGCGAGTGGTGATTAAGAATGATATTTGCAACCGCAGATGTCACTCCGTTCCATTCTTCTTTTTTTATTGTATGCACCTTGTGCGTGTGGGGACAGGCGATCAAGAGAGAATAATATTAAATGACATATGATTTTGTTGACTCCATTGTCAGTCATTGTATCTGCCCCTCCCCCTCCCCCAGTGGAAAACGTAATTTTCTTAAATGACTATTTAGTATTGAGGAATTCCATCGCAGGAGATAATGGATCGACTCCCGCCAGTTGCAGAAATGCAATTATTAGTTGGCCCATCAAACTCCAGGGATTTATCGAGCGCGAATCGATCGTTTCCACAGGGAAATCATTAGATGATCAACGAAATGACTTTAACCCCTCACGGATGGGGCCCTTCTGTTACCAAGCGTAGTGTGTGCTCAGTACGACTCGAATTCGATTATTTCTAATGAATGGAAAAGTATGAAACCGATATCTAATTGAAGCCACTGTATTCCGGTTTCCAATTTTGTCTGATCAAGTTATTCTTCGTAGATTTGGAAATAATGAATTTTGAAAACAAGCGTTCACATTCGCACGGGTCGATACCATGCATCGACCCCTTACGTGAGGGGTTAATGGAGAGATTAGCCTCTGAGATGAAGAAAAAAAATAAATTCACCATTTGTTCTGTTGGTTTGTGATTTTTCTTATTCATCGACTGCATGACTTCCATTTTTGTAAATTGTTGCAATCTTTTACAATTATTATTACCTTATTACAATAATAATAGTACATTATAAATCATATCAGACAGATTCACGCCAACGATCGTAGTATGAAAGAAAGAGGATATAATTCATTGTAATTGTATCTTTATTTCATTGAATGTTCTGCTGTTATTAATCAACTTCGCTTTGTTTTCCATTTTAAATGTGAAAAAGCCTTCGATCACTGTTGGCCTCCTTCGACATCGTCATGACTAATAATACGTTCAGCGCGAAATATCTAATAATCAGTTTTTTTTTCTTTAAATTCATTACTTTAAGTGAAAAATTGTGTAAAAAGATGAACCTCCGAACGCGATGTGACACGAGCATTTTTGGTCTGCTCAGGGAAGGGAGACGTACCCGTTCGAATCCACGCTTTCATTTTTTAATTTTTTTTACTCATTTTTTTCGCTTTTTTTCTCGTTTTTTTCTCTTGTAGTAGTAGCTTTTGAGGGGAGGATGTTCCCGGAATACTTTTAATTCCTGTCGGTGGCACGGAGTTTCTCCTCGACAGCCTCCTCGGAGGCCTCCGAGAGATCCGTCGCCTGTATGTACTTCTGTACACCGACGAGGGACTTCTTGAGTGCGTCGAATGAGCTCGAGTACAACATCTTCTTCTTGACTTTTGCTGTGTCGGGACACCACGACATCAGGAACAATTTTTGTTTCTTGGAAGCCTGGAAAACAATGAAAATTGAATGATAAATTATTGCATTCAGAGATTCCAATGCAATTTTTTCGAGCAATTACCTCGGAGGTGCCTTGACATTGATGAGTATACTCAAAATCAAAAAGTCCATAACGGCATTCGCCAGTACCGCCCTTCTGCAGATCCTCAAGGAAATTTTCATAAACAGCGTCACGGGGTCCAATGACCTCTACATCAATCTGCTTCTCGTCCTTGATGTAAAAGATGACATACCGATGTTTCTTGTCCTTCTTAATTTCATCGTACGTTGTCTTGCAGATGTCAGCTACAGTAACTCCGGATGCCTGAAAATCCCCCATGAAATCATCGTCTGTTTGAAGTTATGAGGAATAGCAATTCAATTCAATAGTAATTTAATTCAGACTTTTGACGAAAACTGACTTCAGGCCTCTTTACGTGACAAGAGAACAAAACATGGCTTTGAATTAGTCTTCACTAGACAATCGAGTGATTTTGGTGAAGCCGAAATTAGGGGAAGATTCGATTCAGGTGAATCTAGGGGTGTTCGAATATTTTCTAGTCAGAGAGAAGAGAAAAAAAGTTTTTATTTTAATTCTATCACTAAATTTCAGGGAAAAAATGACTCAGGATCAGGGTGGTTCTACTCAATGTCCATTAATTGAAAATCAAAAGGTGTTTGACCCCTACACCCTCAAAAATCCCCTGAACTGAAAATTCCACTGGCGACTAATCACCCCAGTCATAAAAATCGAGGTCAAAGTCAGCTCCAAATAGTCGTTCTCCACAACTACTCGCTAATTCTCCTCCCAAAACTGGCGAGCAGACGACCCTGATATCCCGTTTTAATCAGCGCTCCATAAACCCAAGCAGTTTTTACTCCTGTTTTCTATCTTGTTCTCGGATAGAAGGGAGGACAGCGGTCGACGTACACCTCCGGAACGCGCGTGCCACGTGTCCAAGTGCGCCGACGGATAACTTTAGAATTGGATCGGACTGCCCTCCCTTTTAGCATTGCTTATTCGCGCGTGGGAAGAATTTTATTTTCGTGGCCCCCCCGGTCGCGCAATGGTGTGTCCCGCAAAACAGGGGATAGCATCACCACCGATACCCTAGTCTAGTCACGTTGACGAGGTATAGCGATGCGAATGGACAACTCCATCAATTAAACTCGAGACAAATAGCAAACTTATTAATTCTCCAGCTGAATCGTTGCGCGACATTTTTCCTCGAATAAAATGCAATGAAAAATCGAGAATGTTCAGCATTATGACGTCACAATGGTACACGTCCAATTATTTTATTTAATTTTAATACCCAGCAATGAAAAAATACCCTTGCTATCAATTACAAACAACGTCACGAGTTCATGAAAACATTGAATGTTTTATTTCTTATTGGCATCCGACTATTTCGCATAAATTACGCAACATTACACGTGTTTACAAACTTTTGGAATGAAAACTCGGTCATGCTAAAAATCTCATAGAGCTACATCGCAAATAGGCTCCCATCCAACTCTCGCAAACCCGTCAGGAATCATCGCACTCTCACTCAATATTTTCTCCTAAAATCTTCAACTCCTCTCATCATTCCGCGGATTCGAAAATCCCTGGTGTCAGCGCCGATAAGCGCCTCATCGACCACCGTCATAATTGATGAAAATAAAATCTACTCTCCACTCCCCACCCCGATGACTAAATCCCAATCTCAATGCGTCAATACCCGAGCGTTGAGGAATAGAAGATAAACCCCCACCACCTAATTCTCACTTGTATTTTCATTTACTCCAAGTTGAGCCTCATTTATATCCGTCTGACGCTTAAAATAGAGAACAGGATTTCCCTACTGTGGTTTACTGTACGAATGGCCAAACAAAAAGCTTGAAAGAGCCCGAATGTGCATGTATGTGGGTTTTGTTACTTTTGTGTTATGGGACGCGCGCACGCAACGACAACGGGGTGGAGGGGTTGTTTGAAATATATTTTAGAGTGGTTTAGTCTATTTGAATAAGGTCTGGGTTAGAAATAATGCTTGCCAGGGGTTATTTCTCGAGTGAGATAACTCGCAATTCGCAATTTTACGAGATTTTCCAGTGAAAATTACAAAAAATATAAAAGACTAATGATTTATCTCAACAATTGCAGAACTTATTGTTGCCAACTTGAATTTTTCAATTAAAAAAAATAGCTGCTCATGATTCAATCTAATTGTTAGTTACATGTGCAATAATTCTGCGTCAACAATCACTCGTTTTTCCTGAACTTTGTAACGACTTTGGTAATAAAACTGCGAATGTTCTTGAATGTGAATAGTTATACTATTTCTCCCGCAGCGGTATAATCCTGTGGGCAAGGAATAGATGAAAGGGGCAATTTCTAACTCGACAAAAAAATTTTCTCAACAACCGGAGATTAGCTCATCAACATCAACAGAAGAACTCACTGCTGCCAAGTTAATATTTTCTTAACAGCAGCAGTTAGCCGCTCAGAGAAATCTCTCGAGGTCTGTTATTCCTAGATGATTCAACCGAAGTTCCGTTCATAACAATTCTCCCTCAACAATGTGAAGCCGAAACAAGCATTTACGCGAATCTAGGGGTATACAAATATTTTTTAATTTATGTGCAAGCTCTTTTGCTTGTAAAAAACATTTGTAGGGGAGGTTGAGGTAAAATAGACACTTTTGACTTTTTTAAAAATATTAGTGACGGGTTGAAATGTTCATGAAATTTAATCTGTTTTTTTTCAATACAAAGAACAATTCTTTTCCTTTGTGATGAGCCTAAGCTGAGCTCCATTGACGCATTTCTGTTTCATTTTTGTTTCTGAGTTATGAATAATTTTAAAAAAGCCTAAAGTGTTCATTTTACCCTGCCCTCACCTACATACAATTGTGACTCTCACACCCTTAAAAATCCCACAAATTGGGTCTTCCGCTGGCGAACATTACGCTAGTTTCAGCTTCATCTCAACAATCACACGATCTTCCTAAACTTAGTAACAAAATAGTTAATGTTTCTCAATATGAATGAACATTGAGGGAGTCCATGCTATTCCCTCCGCCGCCTAATAATCCTGCAGTCAACTCTAGAGAAAACAAATCTCTCTTCCAGTGAATGAACCCGTGAACATCATTTATTTCACTGTACACTACTCCCTCATTATGTGACGCGCGCACGCAACAAGAGCGAATGGGGTGGAGGGGTTGTTTGGGATAAATTCAAGAGAACGAGAGCGAGAGATTTTCGAGGTGGGATGCGAGAGAGACCCCCGTGCGGTCGATCGATATGCGCCTCGTCAATGGGGGATGACGGAGGGCCAGAGCGCGAGGGCTCCCTCTGGCCACGAGAAAACTACCAAGGTCAGGCGGCAGATGAATCCCTATTGAGTGCATTCGTTGCTCCTCTGAAATTCGAGAAAAATAATGACAAGATGAGTGGCCCCCATTCCCTTTATGACCCTGTGCAACGAGTGCTGGCTACTGGTAGTTGACGATAGCCGGGACAGTGACAACTAACGGTTGGACCTTGAGAATCACTGGCCATTGAATTCAACATATCTCTCTCACTCGCAGCACCATTCATTTGCGATAGAAATTGCTGTGTCTATGCAATTGTTTGTGGATTGTGACTGATTGAATGAATCAGTATTGGTGTGAAAATTGCGGGTGATTATCGGTAATTATTTGTCATTATCGAATTCGTTTGAAGGGGGAGAGCCTCAACATCCTTCGGCAGAATGTTTATGCATAATATTGTGGGAAGTGAGTAGAGTGCAGCGGAATTCAGCGATGAACAGCGAGGAATGCGCCTGAAGTTGGGGGAATTTTTTTGGCAATCCTCTCGATTTGGATTGAGTTAAATATGTTGCTGTCATATCAATCGATAAATACATTAGAGACACGAGGCCGCTCTCCAAGCGCAAGTCAATTTATCTCCACATGGAGATACCTCCCAGCGATATATATAGTAATGCATAAATGGACAAAGTACAATCCTCGTGGCACAGCATTTGGAAACTCTAAATTCTGAAATTCCTCATGCAAATCCCTAGAAACGAGTTTTTTTCCGGCAGCTGCCCCCAGAACAACTGTAACCATCTCCGGATGATAACCCGAGAGAGAAAAATGTGGAACGTTATAAACGCCATTGAGATGTGTCGTCTCGTCAGTGAAAAGCCCCGACGACGTTGGGGGAAAAAGAAGCGAGAGAGAGTGTATAAATATTCGTCGGGTATCGGATGGAGGAGTCCGAAAAGAGCCGGCGAAGAAGAGTCATGAGACTGAGACAGACTGAAATGAAACAGAACGAGACAGAGTCTTTCACCGTTGGATTATCCGTGCGAGGGAGTGAGATGCAGCGATTGAGAGACGAAGAGCGTTGGAGCGGGTGTACCCCCTTGGAATTGGCCACGTAATGCCGGCAACTGAAATATAATTCTAACCAGGAGAGTGCAACGATGCGTCGAGCCTTGATATTCCAGTGCTCTCCACTGAATTATCACGAGGCATGCAAGATTATTCGGAAAAATACAGCACGAGATATCGTGGATACAAGAGCCTCTCCATGTTTCACGGTTGGAGGAAGTGAGACAGAATGATGATTAAAATCGAATATGGTGGGGCAGTACAAAGAGAGAGAAAGAGAGCGAGAGAGAGAGGCGGAGGGACGCGTAATCGCGATCTGTCAATCGTTAATTTTTTTTTCACCGATGCATTGAAAGAAATGATTCATGCCCGTTAGTTTCCTGGAAAGGACGAGTACGGCACTCCCTTGACAACGACGTTGTTTCACGATTGGAGCAGTGGCGATTGAAGCATGAAAAGTCGAGTTGCATGTGTGATTCACCGTTCCCCCAAAAATCCATGCAATTGTCCGTTAAAATGGAGTTTAATCGTTCGCAGGAGTGATATTTCAACAATGACAAAAAAATGTGCTATCGAGTCGCCAGTGCCGGGGAACAGAAATGGCGACTGGCGCGTCCGCCTCCTCTCCTCGCCATAACCACAAAGTTGTTGCGTGCCGGGAGGCCCCACCAAATAATTTCCCCTCGTCCCTCATGACCGGTATTTAAACTCAATCACAATTTTTCTCCCCAATCAATTCACAGTGGACAACGTTATCTCGATTAATTGATTATATTTACCATTTTTTATTAGCAGTCAAAGCCAAGGGGAGAAACGAGTAAACAAGCACTACCAACACTTCCCACTGGTAATCTCTCGACTGTGGTAGAACTGGATACCTTCGGTTTTGTGTGTCCAGTTGGGGGTCGCGTACACCAACGACGAGGAAGGGAGGATCCTCGACCGTAGAGGCCTTTCTGCTGGCGCACAGTTTCACTGTTAAAACTGTATCACTACGCGTGCGCGCGCATATGCTATAAGGGTAATGCCATTGGTCGTTTCCAGTGGGTTACCACTACCGCCGGTTATTCGTGGATTTACAATCAATTTTTATGCCGAATTATTTGCTATTGTTCTGTGATTTTTTTTTGGTGGGAAAAATCGGGGACAAGATTCCGCCTTCGGGGGATTTGTTACCGGGGATTTCGTCGGGGACATGAAGGGGAATATTGTCATTTCCGGCGATGCCGGTATGGACTAATTTCCGCGCGTAGGCAGACGTCACGCGGCCCAACCGGTGGCTTTATATAAACGCTATTTTTGAACGGTACAATCCCTTCGACAGGAACTTTCAGCGTTGAATTCGTCATTTTAATTCAATGATCATTCAGAATTATTTTACTCAGAATTTGTAGGTCTCTCTCTTCATTTTCATCTCGTATTTCACCCTCCGAAGAATTGAATTCGTGTGCGGCATGCTAAAACCCAGGGAATTAGGCGAAATTAGTCATCGTGCATGACGTGCCAGTGGTGTCTCGACCAATGGGGTATCGGGACGTGGGGAAATTGCCTTATATGGGCAGTGGCATGCACACCCGAGAGAAAGAGAGAGAGAGATGGATAATTTCCTCGGTACAATTCGACTATTCACGAGGCAAGACGCGCGCGCAAACACAAACGGATCGAAGTGCCAATGTTTTCACTCATTTTTTTTTAATTCAATGCTCACAGCTTATTGTCTTGATTGGGGGTTGATGAGGATTTTTAATGCCGCGTGAGATCAATTGAGTTGTCTGGGCTGTCATGATTCAAATTTAATTTTATGTTGCAGTTGCGTTTGTTATCGATGCATCATTTTAATTGTATGTTCAATAGATTTTGCTCCCTCGTCTTATTTTCTTGCTTCATTTATATACAAAACAATTTCGATTTTTAAGCGAATTTAAATCCTCAATCTTTTATTGTTGACGAGGATTTTTAATTCTCCGTGAAATAAAATGAGTTGTCTGATATTTAAAGAATTAAATTTAATGTCATAACACAAATCATTTTAATGTATTCGTAATTCTATATTTCTATAGTTTATTTACACGCTCCCTTTACATACAAAAATCTCGCCTTTCAAACGAAATTAAACCCCCGAACTTTCCTCGTTTATCATTGTTTTCACTCATTTCTTTGATTTCAATGCAGTCAGCTTTGAAATTGTTTTGACTGGGGGTTGATCAGGATTTTTAATTCTACGTGAAATCAATTGAGTCGTCAGATCTTTGATGATTCAAATTTAATGTCATAATACAGTTGCGTTTATCATCGATACATAATTTTAACTTATTCGTAATCCTATATTCAATGGATTCGGCCCGTTCTGTGTCGCGGTTTCGGCTTATTTACATGCTCCCTCTATATACAAACATCTCGCCTTTGAGCGAATGTAAACCCTCGAACTTTCATCGTTTATCATTGCTATTGAAAATTGTACTTACGCACTTGTTCTATTGCTTATCAATTAATGGACCTGTCTGCCAGCACACTTAATACTGTCCCCCACAATCCCATCAATGCTTCATAATTTAACTAAGTCAAACTAAAAGAAAATCAAATAAAACTAACTCACACAGTCAACTTAAAAATGTTTTTGTATTACAACATACAAGAATGTTTATCTCGCTAGTTACGACGTACACCTAAGTAATAAAAGATAAGAGTAGAGTTACAATCGCACGTATTATTTCTACATTACACGTAGAAATTCAAGTATTGAGTCTCAGACTATTCATTCACCCAGTCACACTCTATTTATTCGATATTTTATTTTTTTTAGAAACGCTGGAAGTCGGCCAAGTCGTAGAATATTCAAAATATTGAGCGAATAATTTTTAAGAACAAGTGTAGTGTAAAAGGGGGGAGGGGCTTCAATGCGAAGGTGAGACTTGGCTCGCACTCGTCAATGCCAATACAACATAAACACAATTCGTAATATATACACGATGCACTTTTGGCAGAGGGAAAGACGAGCTGAATTTCCAGGAGTGTTCAACCCACTCGCGGATTTAATAATTTAAAAATAAATGAAATAAACACAATGATAATGAGACACATGAGGGCGAAATCCAAATTATTTTGCTAGTTCCCGCTTGGGACTGAAGGAGCTCATGACTAATTCCGCCTTTTTTCATCTTCTCTCGAAGATACGCTAGGATTTTTATTAGTGTGGATACACCTGTCGTCCAGGCGTCGTGCGAAAATGCAGTTGCATCATACTGACGACTGCTGTGAAATGTAGGAGGATTACATTTTTTTTCATCATACACTTGTGCTCGCTTTTTGGGAAGGGAGTGTTAGATGAGGCCACGTTTTTTCTTGTAGTCCTCTAGGTTCAGTGATCTACGAGGACCAGTGTCTTTTATATTGCTCACTGGCTTTGGTAGAACACTCACAGGATTGCCTACAATGGAATAATTAATTGAATTATTAATTTCAACAATTTTAAGGGGGGACTCCTCTGATTTTTATGTTTAAAAATAAAGAGTTAATGCAAAAAAAGTGTAGGGTAAAATCGACGCTTTTTATTTTTGAAAAATAATATTCCACTATTTATTTATTAAGAGTCCATTTTGCCCCCTCCCCCCTAGTGTCCCCTCAGAATGCAGAAGTTCACCTGAATGATACTCACTTGGAATAGGTACTTCCAAATCTATCGTAATATCAAAATTATGAGCATTGAAAAGATCCTCAGTGCTCTGTTTCTTGGGTGCCTCCTGTCCATTCTCCTTGTCATTCCCAATGACATCCCCCAGAATGGGTACACTCGGTTTATCATTAACCACAACAGGTGCACTCTCCTCCTCCTCCGGCTTGTAAACCATTCTGGGCTTGGTGCTTCTCCTGGTGAACGGATCGTCGATCTTCTTCCCCTTGTTCGCCTTGAACTCCTCCATAATAGCCTTCTCAGCCTCCTCCACATTCTTCTTCCTGTTCCTGTCATTGATGTAAGATATACTGGAGATGGTGGCTGTGCGCATTTTGTCGAGCTCCGAGGCCCTCTCCTCCAGCTCGCTCAGCTCCAAATTGAGCCTTGTAGCGGTGCTGTCATCACCCCTGCAGTTGGCAGCATCCCTCTCCCTCATGAGCTGCGCCTTCTTCATGGCATAATTCCAAGGAGTCGCCTTGAATCTCCCCTTCTCCTGCACAATCTTCTCAATGTCCTCCTCCTTGAACTCATAGACCAGAGCCTCCTTGATGTCCTTCAGCTTGTGCTCAATCTCGTCAGAAGTCGGCATGGATATTCCCTGGAGTGCACAAGCCTCCTTCCACTTGAAGAACTCAGAATCCGTGAATTCTTGATTGGAAACGAACTCAAGCCTGAAGACTCTCTCCTGCGCTCCGTGTCTGAGCCTCAGCCCTTTATTAGTGCGGGTATTTCCGAGCTGATAGATCTTCCCAGTCTCGCAGACACCGCTGATCTCAGCGACTCTGTACACAGGCTTGCCATTGTTGTTTCCAATTCCAATTCTCACAAAACAGCCCTGAACGACTCTGTCGAAGAAGGGGAGGTGCACGAAACGCTCCATTTTGTGTCGAGACAAACGAACTTTGTTCAGTTCATCCCTAGTGTTCACGTACAGTGGCTTCTTGGGCTTCGTCTTGGTGGAGGCAACAGACTTCTTGTCGTTGTCTGAATCAGAGTCTCGACTGTCACTGGATGAGGATCGACGTGCTGACGTGGTCTTGGGGGTCTCCTCCTCAGGTTCACTGTCAGACGATCCACTGTCGTCTGAGTAGATGTCAGAGGCCTTCAGCTTGGTCTTACTGCCCCCCTTGTGATCATCATCGAGCTCCTCCTCGTCGTCCTTGGACTGGGCCTGCTGCTGTTCCATTCTAGCCTTCTCCTTCTCCTCTCGCTCCTTCCTCTCCTCCCTGCGAGCCTTCAACAATGCCATTGCGTTCGACTTCTTGTCCTGCTTCTCTTCAATGGTCTTCTTACGGTCCTTGGAGCGCTCCTTGGGATCAGGTGCTCTCTCGTACTTCTTCTCGTCCTGGCTCTTCTCCTTCTTCTTCGACTCCTTCTGCTTGCGCTGCTCTTGCTTCCTCACCATCCTCAGTTTCTTCTCAATCTCGAATCTCTTTTTCATCGCTTCACGCTGCTCAACTCGCTTGTAAATCTCCTGCTCTCGTTCCTTCTCAGTCATCTCAGCGAGTCGTGCTCGGTCCTCAGCGTCTCCCATCAGATCGTCGTCGTAACCGTCGTTGAACTCCTCTTGGCTCGAGTCTGAACCACTGTGGTCAGAGTCAGAGACTTCACCTGGAGAAAACAAAATAGATAACAATTTTTTTTATTTATTCAATTCTAGGTTATTTAATAATAGTTTTTGACGAATATCTCGGAATCTAAAAGAGATAGAAAGATTTTTGTCATGACCTTTTTTGTAGAGCTAATTGAGGGCTATAAAAAAGGTAATGAGGAAAATTTTGCTGTCTCTCTTAGATTCCGAGATATTCATAAAAAACTGGCCAACAGTCAAAATCAACTTAACCCGGTTTACCGCTTCACTACTGAATTGTTTTCATGATTTAAGGAGGTTCATTTGGTCCAATAAATTATCCCATTGCCCTCAACAGTTGGGATTATCACTAGTGATGAAACAGTGGAAATATTTTGGGCTGAAGAAGTTTCAACTTCACGTACCTTCTTCAGGCTCGGACACTTTGGCAGGCTCATCGTCACTGCCACTGTCCTCAGAGCTGGACTTTGTCACTTTCCTCTTTGTTCGCTTGCTCGGCTGCTTCTTCTTCTTTGGCTTGCCAGGTTTAGCAGTCCAGTCATCATCGGACTCGGTAGTTGCCGAGTCCACCGCTTTCGAATCCTTGCTGTTGCTTCCTTCGTTCGTCTGGGTGTCATCCTGACCCTTGGCCTTCCTCTTCTTCGCCAAGGATAAGAAGTCCTGGAGATAATCATGAGTAATCATGAGAAAATGAAAAAACCCCTTTGGTGTTCAATCAATTGTTGTGAATGTTTCAATGTTATGAAACTTTTCTGTTTTTACTGAATTCAAGTGGAGGGTTGAAGTCATTTCTCCACAAAAAATACCAAAGCAGGTTATCTCAAGTTATTGGGAGCTTCACGAGGTGTGAATCCCAGAAAACACGTTGACGTTATCATCTTTTTGTTCGTCCCAAGGTCTAGGACTGCAGTCAAGGTTACACTACGTATTTCCCACATGCCCTCACCATTCTCGTCAATATTCATAAGAAACATTGACCAAAACTTTTCTGCTGATTTTCGTAACGATAAAAATAAGGCAAAACCCACGAGAGACTGAAAATTCCCGTTTGTTTTGTTTCATAAAATAATTGAGGTTAGCTACTCACATTTTCCAAGTCACTCCCGCTGTCCGATGCACTCTCACCGCTATCTGAATGGATGAGCGCTTGATTCTTCCTCTTGGGCATTTTAATAATAATTTCACTTCCACAAATTGAATATTACCCTCGAAAAAATCGTAACGCAATTTCAGGGGAGCAGGAGATCACTGAAGAGCCCAATGCTGTCACTTGTGGCCCTGGCGACAGTGGCGCTCCCCAGTAAATTCGCGCGCACTGTTCGACGAGGGGAACGTCGGAACATCAGGGACAGAGTGGAAGACAGAACGAGCCGTTTTTTCAATCGTCAATAATTAAAAATGGGCAGAGTGAAATCCAACAATTCTTTTTTCATTTCGAAGGTATTTTTTCAGACTTTAAAACGAAACCCAATTTCCTCAAATCGTAGCGTTCAGCCAAGAGATATTCACGACTCGAGGACGCCGATTTTACTTCAAATTCTGTCCTGAATTCCCTGCGTCAACCCCCTCTACGCCCTCCAGCGCCGCCATTCTCGTAATTCGCCACATTCCAACGTAAATTCCGGTCCATTGTCCCCCCATAGTGAACACCCAGTAATGTACACAATAATCCCCCCTGTCAACGCCGAAAAAACGCAAGTGCTCGCCCGAGAGCTGTCAAAGCCCTGACGATGGCACGCAACGTGTCCGCATTTCGAGTAAACATTCCACCCTGGACCTATTTCTAATCAAGCAAACCGACAAAATCCCCCCAACGAACGTGCAAAAGTGAATTCTAATCCCATACGACGTGAATACTGATGTAAACACCCGTGAAATTCCCGAGAATCGAGATAAACGTCGAAAAGCCTGCCGTGTGCTTAGAAACCGGAAGTTGGTGACGCTCTTTAATCGCGAATCGATCACTTGAAGCCTCGATAAACCGTTGACAGTCTCACCCCGGCCTCGATGGAGCCCCGAGCCCCCTGATCCTGCCATGATGACTCCGATGAGCGAGGACGGCGGTCCGCTGCGGGAGTGGGCCCCCCTGACAGCTCTCCTCCAGCAGATTCCGGTGAAACTCCAAAGTGGAATATTCACGCAGGACATCAACTTCACGTGCATCTCAGTCCTCCCGGAGTTCCTGGCGATTGGCACCAACTGCGGACTAGTTTACTGGTACAATCGTGAGACCGGTGACCTGCAGAGGCTGCGATGCGAGAACGCCTACTCCAGCATCACGTGCCTGCGCGTCATCTCGACGGTGGACTACATGGTGGCAGCGGGTAACAATCAGGGGGTCGTCACAGTATTCCAGATCCCGAAGAATCTCCCGGAGTCGTTGCCCGAGAGCTTGCGACCGAAGCAGAAGAAGCAGGTGGAGAGGTACAACATCGGGGGGATCCACAGGAGCCCAGTGAGCTCGGTCGAGTGGTCGAAGAACGGGATGAAGCTGTTCAGTGGAGACCAGGATGGCCTCGTGGTCCTCACGGAGATTGACTTCTACATGCACCTGTCGAAGTCCTCGGAGCTGCTGAACGAGAAGTACGCAGTTGTCCAGCTGAGTTATCAGCAGGGGCTGCTGCTGGTGTCGACCCTCTTCAGGACGATCCTGGTGAACAGCAATCAGGAGAGAAAAGTGTCCCAGGTGGGGCAGAAGGAGAGAAAGTCGCTGGGAAAATTGGGGGCGGTCTTCGCCACTCGTCAGGCACACGTTCAAGAGCCAGTTATTTACGCCAGTCGACCTGGACTGAGGCTCTGGCAGGCTGATAAGACGGGGACTGTCATCAAGACACTCATCTTCAAGGAGGCTGTGCAGACGACTAATACTGAGGTCGTTCTGCTCAATCCTGCGCCTGAGATGGTCAGGAAGAGACGGGGGGAGCCAACTTTTGGGGCTCTGATGCCCTTCTGCGACGATTTATTCGTTACATTCAGTGAGGATGTCATCTACGTGGTGAATCCTGTGACGATTGCTATCACTTCGGTTGTCAATGACCTCAGGAGGATCACCGACGTCTCCTGCACGAAGGACGAGGTGTTCGTCCTCGAGGGGGAGAGGAACATCCTGAGGATCGCTTATCACCCTGAGATCAGCAATGTCGAGAGTCCTGAGGAGACCAAGGACTCGCTGACGTTCGCAGAGATCAGTAAACCCGTCACTGCGGGCATTCTCGGGCTCACCTCGAGGATCAAAGAGAATTCTATCGTTCCCAGCATCCCTTTTTATAAGATCAGTCCTAGTAATATTATTCAGGCGATGAGTGCTCTGCCCTCCAGGGGGGGAGTCGATCCCAATCCTGTTGTCAATGGGGAAGAGGCCACGGAGATGCCTCCCATCGTTCCACTGAGCATCGACACACCTCTGGTCACTGATGTTGATATCGAAGTCGAGCAGAATGCGCATTCTGGGGAGAGGGAGGAGGGCAAGGTGGACAGGAGACAGATTTTCCAGAGGATTGGGGAGCAGGAGTTTGAGGAAGTTGTTTTTACTCCTGAGAGGAAGCACAAGAGAGTGGGGAAGAGTAATAGGATTAATGGGCACAATGGAGAGGACAGTCTGTTAAAGTATTGTAGGGATATTCAAGAGACCCGTTCGTCTCTGTTAACGTTGAGTATTGATGATGAGTGTGTTCTGAGGGGGGAGAGGAATCTCGAGAGCATTCAGAAGGACGTGGAGAGCAAAGAGAAACTGCTCGCTGATGTTCTTAATTTTGATCTGTCTGAGTATATGACGAGCAGCCAGAATTATTCGGATGATAGTCGGTCGAATGGGAATGGAAGTGCACTGGATACGATAACTTATGTTAATTGCACTGGGTCGACGGCTGATTCTGCGATTTTTCGTTTTGAGGAGGGAGACGAGGATCGGGGGGATGACTCCGGGGATGAGGATGAGAGCTACAGGACTGAATTGAAGAAGCTGGAGACGCTCGGGGAGTGCAGCAAACAGCTCATGCTGATGGGTAAAGAGAATTCTGTTGGGATTGGGGAGGGTGAGGGAGAGAGGAATGGAAGGGGGGAGTTTAATCATTCTAGGGAGCTGGAGATTCGATTCAATGGTAATTATCGAAAATAATGAGTTATTATGGAAATAATTTTGTAGATTATTCAATGCATTTTTTATACATTTTCAAATATTTTGTTTGTTTCAGTTCTTTCGAAAGAATTCGTATCTTCTGCGATATGCGACGAAGCTGATGACTGGGTCGTCGTGTCAACACAGGATTAACGTCGCCACCAAAGCCAGAGAGTAAATTTCATTTTGACTATTAATCCATTGCATTGAAGATTATGTTATTTAATTGCGCAAGATCTATTCAGGGTATTGGAATATATTATTCAATGATTAGTTTATTTGGGGAGAATGGGGAAAAATCGACACTTCTGGCTGCTTGAAAAATATTCACTGCATTAGAAAAGTTGATCGCATTTAATTAACAATTCAATGACTTGTCAACATTTATAAAAAATGGAGATGTGATTTCACCTCAATCTCTCTCTTGTAGGATAACCCATAGTGATAAAAAACCGGTCTAAGTATAATCATGTTTTATCTGCTTGAGATATTGTTTCAGAACAAGTATAACATTAATTTGTATGCTAGTCATAACTGCGTTTTTCATGGCACACGACAGGATTCTATAATTTGGAGATACAATGGAGATGAAATAAAATATACTGCGAACGTTGTTAAAAACCGTCTGTTATTTACATGATTAATGTACAATCTTTATCATTTTTTGTCTTTATTACGATTGATGAAACTCGCAGCCTCTAAGACTAGACGTGCTGCGTTGTTGATGTGTCGAAAGCGGTCTGGTCCGAGGTGAATGCCCCCGTACCATCGTGACACAACTACTAGGACGTTTTTGGTGTCGAGGATCTGGAGGAGGTGGAGGAGTCTACCCCCAGCCTGGTTCTCACCGTCATCCTCACAGTCCTGGAGGTAGTTGTTGGTTTTCTCTTGATGGATTCGGTAGGCGTACATGTTGTGGGTTGCCTGGTCTATCTTACGGTTTTCCATAAGTTTTTTGAGCACTAATCTGTTGGAAAAAGGGAAGGATATATTGGTGGAGAGGATGAAACAAAATTTTTTAGGGAAAAACGAGTCTTGAAATCTTTAACAAATCAATTCATTCTAAGAATATTTTTTATTAATTCTCAATCTACTGAATTTTCAAGGTGAATCAGGAACAATTTTACCTTCAATTGATTTGAAATTCATAACATTGAAGATGCAGATGCAATTATTACTTGAATAGAGTAAGGAACTCACTTCACTTGAGCAACTGATGTTACTCTAGCTGTGTGACCCTGAAAGAAACTCTTTCTGTCCACAACAACTTCTCCGTGATAAATTTCTGGACATGTTTCCTCCACAGGGGCAGGCACCACGTCTGTCACCAGATCATTTTCCTCTCTACCTTCTTCGCCTTCTTCGTGAGATTCCTCCTCTTTCTGTAGATTCAAATTCTGCAATTCTTCACGAATTCTCTCAACCCACTGGTAGATAACATTTTGACCTACGTAATCCCTGAAGAGTAATCAAATCATCAGAAAAACATCGCAACGAGTCAATTAAAAAAATCTTAATTAATTAGTAATTCAGCAGTGAAGGGGTCAAACTATTTGAGTCATATCTCAAAATCTAAACGAGATAGCGAAATTTTCGTGAGAACCTTTTTTGCAGCTTTCAATTCGCTCTACAAAAAAGTTTATAACAAAAATTTTGCTATCTGGCTTGGATTCCGAGATATTTATTGAAAACTGATTAATACTTGAAAACAACTCAAACCCTTTTACCACTTTGCTATAAAATTAAATGAATAGTCGATTGAAAATCCTCTATTAATAATTTTTCTACAAAAAGAAACTCATCAAAAAAATAAACTCTCTAAAACCTACAAGTATACCTCGTCCAGAATCCGACAGATCCTGATCTTGTGCTCCTGCCTCAGATGGGGTGCAGAGACTTCATAGACAGGTGGCACAGACAACGGATAATCAATAGGCAGCTTCAGATAAAGTTTTACGGTCCACCCGCCCTCCTCGATATTGATGCTGTACGCGCGGTTCTCCTCATCCTCCACCACGAGTTCATCACCGTAAATAGCCACAAGTGCCTCTACCTCGTCAGCCTATTAAAAAAAAACAAAAACCCCTCAACAAACCGGAAAACAAGCGTTCGAATCGAGACCCGTTCACTCACTTGTTGTGCAAGGTTATCCATGACACCCCCTGTCCCTCGATATTCAAACAATTGTGATGCGTCAGCTGTCGATGTCACGTCTCGAATCCCATTGACAACTGCGATCTCCGCACATTTCGCCCCAAAACGGATGTCTCCATAATGCAAGTGTTCAAATAGAACAGGAAGTGAACGACTGCAGCTCAATAAAAAATGTTTAACGGAAAAATCGAGTCATTCGAGATGAGCGAATAGAGTTCGTCGTTGGAGTTCAGTGGATAGTTTAGAGTGAAGTACAATAACGAAGGATGGATTACGCGTTATTCCAAATAATTGAACAACAATCGTAGCTCTGTGAAAACCGTGCATGGACGTCACGTTTGCACACGTCATCTGAACAGCGCCCTCTGTGCCCTGAAAACCCTCCTCTCTGTCCCGTGTGATATGTCGAATATACGCTGGCATAAATCAACAGCTTATTAGGTTAATAAATAGCTCATTGCCGAGACAATCGGTGCATCAAGATGGTGAGTATCAACGAGTATCCCTTGTATTTAGGTGTTAAAGGATTAATAGTTAGTGGGGGAGGTTGAGGGGAACTTGGGGGCCATCCCCTGCTCCGAAACTGCGGATGTCATCAGACATACCAAGTTTCCAGACTTTCAAATCTCTCCGTCAATCAGGGGAGTTTAAAGGAATTAATCATTGATTCTAGGTACTTATTGCGAGTGCGGTATGCACCAAGGCTGGGAAAAGTGAGTAGAAAGGGTCTGTAGTGGCTAGATGACGCATAACCAAGACTGGGAATTTATGGGTGTTTTGTGTTTCGCAGCGATTATCTCCCGTCAATTCGTCGAGATGACGAAGGCGAGGATAGAGGGACTCCTGGCAGCATTTCCGAAGTTGATGAGCACGGGGAAGCAGCACACGTTTGTGGAGACTGAGTCTGTTAGGTATGTGTACCAGCCTATGGAGAAATTGTACATGCTACTGATTACGACGAAGGCCAGTAATATTCTGGAGGATTTGGAGACTCTCAGATTGTTCGCTAGAGTTGTAAGTATTTTTTCGTTGGAAAATATTGTAGAGAATGTCAAAGGATTTTGTGAGAGAAAATAAATAGGTTTATTAACAGTTTTAAAGTTTAAGGATATTTTATATTTGCAAAATGATTTATTTTCTTATATTCTTTTACTGAAAGTGATACTCTAGATTATTTTGTTAACATCTTGGAATTCAATAGATAAAGAGAACAAACCTATCAATTATTTACATTTGACGTAAAATATAGAGATCATTATTGACAAAAAGAGCAATCAGGTCAATATCAATTTGACAAAATGAAGAATGTTGGTATTAATATTCCTGAATAAATCTGCAAATATCTACAAACTGAACAGATTTGAGAAAAAACCCAAGCGGCCTTTTTGTAGCGCCTGAAATTTTCTGTGAAAAAAGTCTTTTAAGTCTCTTCTAAATATAAAAAAAATACAAAGCCACTTTGTGGCTGTAAATAATTACTTCCCAATCATCGCCTAATCGACTGTATGAAACCTTAATGAAAAAACTCCTGTGAAAGATTCCAGAATACTGCAAATCAATGGACGAATCAGAGATCTCAGAGCACGCCTTTGAATTGATATTCGCCTTCGACGAGATAGTAGCCCTCGGATACAGGGAAAACGTGAACCTCGCACAGATTCGCACTTTCGTGGAGATGGACTCCCACGAGGAGCGAGTGTTCAACGCGGTACGTTACACCCAAGAGCGTGAGGCGAAGAACAAGATGAGGGAGAAGGCGAAGGAGCTGCAGAGGCAGAAACTGGAGGCAAACAAAAAGGGAGGAATGAAGTCCTCAGGTTTTGCCGGGGGCTACGGCAATAACAGTGGAGGTTTCAACTCGAGTCCAACAGTCGGTGACTCTGCGAATTTCGTGCCTGAACCAGTGAAGCCCAGCTACACTCCAGCAGCCAAACCGACAGCTGCTGGCCCAGGGGCCATGAAACTAGGTGGCAAAGTTCGGGATATAGACTCATTCGTGGACCAATTGAAAGAGGAGGGGGAGAATGTCGTGGCGAATGTCAAGTCACTGGACACGAAGGCAACACCGACGTCCCAACAGATCATCCATACAGAGCCTGTGCACTTGAGGCAAGAGGAGAAGCTGAATGTGCGCGTGGGAAGGGACGGTGGGGTCCAGCAGTTCGAGCTGCATGGTCTCGTCACCCTGAACATATCTGACGAACAGTGGGGAAGGATACGTGTCCAGCTGGAGAACGACGACAGCAGGGGAGTCCAGCTTCAGACGCATCCCAATGTCGACAAGGATTTGTTCAGGATGAAGGGACAGATTGGATTGAAAGTACCCAGCAAACCATTCCCTCTTAACACTGATGTTGGAGTGCTCAAGTGGAGGCTGCAATCACAGGATGAATCAGCTTTGCCTATTTCTAGTGAGTTTATCATTATAATTACTCATTATTGTAATCGTTATTAGCAGTTCCTCATTCTTAATGGAAGAATAACGACGACAAGCCAAATACAGAATTAATTTAAAATTAGTTGGCAAAGCGAGATTAGTTCGAAAATGCCCAAAAATCCTTGATAACACCAATTATTTTCTTTCAGTAAACTGCTGGCCCTCAGAAAACGGTGAAAACGGATGTGACGTTAATATTGAATATGAGTTGGACCACGCAGAGTTGGAACTAAACGATGTACAGATTAACATTCCACTCCCCATGGGCTGCACTCCAATAGTGAGTGAGTGCGATGGAGAGTACAGTCACGAGGCCAGGAGAAACCAGCTGGTTTGGTCACTGCCACTTGTTGATGCATCCTCGAAGTCTGGCTCCATGGAGTTCTCAGCGCCGTCCTCAACACCCTCAGACTTTTTCCCACTTCACGTATCGTTCACATCGAAAACTTCATACGCCAAAATTAAAGTGAGTAATTTGTCAACTGCACATCATTATCCTCGTCCTTTTGGGGAGGCATCCGTTGTTTAATTCACGTTTTTATCCTTCAGGTTATCGATGTGCAATTAGTTGACGATGGAAGCCCCGTTAAACACTCAGTCGACACTGTATTCCTCACGGACAATTACGAAGTGGTATAATCATTTTATTTTGTATCTATAAACCATGTTAACGTAGGTGATGATGATAAGGCGCACGAGGTAATGAATTTTACGAAAAAAAAAATATTTCTTTATCAGAACGTCGGTATATTGTTTTAAAATAAAATGATCCTGGATATAATTATTTGGGAATTTGTACGGTTTCGTAAAGCCACATTTGGCGAAAATCCATGGAAACTATTGTGAATAATTAAATGGTATTTAGAATGTAAGAAACAATAAAATAAAATGATAATTAATCATGTTAATGCGGCCACGAAACCTGGGATTCAATGAATACGTGACTGTTATTACTGCGAAAATAGTATTAAGAAGATCTTTTGGCTTTTTCGTTCATCTTCTCTCCTCCGCTCTTTCAAGGTCCATCCTTTTTTTAATTTAAGATTATGTTTGGATGTACACAAAATATATGTAGATATAAAACTTATTTGTTTAATTATTAAAAACAGAATTAAATTAACAAATATGTACAAATATTGTCTTGGCAGAAATTATTACAGAACGAAGGGTTTTATGAAATAATTCTCCTCACAGCTTTGCCTAGAAAAAAAAATTGAGTCAATTTCCATTGAAGAATGAGATAAATATCGTAAGGAAGATGTTTACCTGCATTAGATTCTTGAAAAAATCATGACAGAACCCAGTGTTGAATCAAATAATTTTCTATAACAGCCTTGGCTAGAAACAAAAGTAACAATTTCGTAAATTCATTCAATTGATTTTAATTAAATGTTCAATTACCTGTATGAGACTTATTCAAAATAGCAGCATGATAAGCACTGATGTTGTGAGCATTTCGATGAGTCAGATCGGCCTTTCTAGTCAGCAGTTCATAGCACACGTGAGGATGGTCTCCGTATGCTCCATAAATTAGTGGAGTATTTCCCTCCTGATGCATGCAATCAAATCAAATCCCATAATCCACTTAATCAACTCAGAATAATTATTAATTGATAATTGAGAGAACTCACGTCATCAGTGGCATCAACATCAGCCCCCTGATTGAGAAGTAATTTAACTAGATCATGCTGCCCAGAGGAAGCTGCCAGGTGCAGTGCAGTCTCCCCATTGAGCCCCTGATAATTCTTATCAGCTCCAGCCTTGAGCAGCATCCTGGCACTTCCCAGTTGTCCATAAGTCGCTGCCCACATCAACGCAGTCAAGCCGTTCTCATCTGGCGCATCAATCTTCCCAGATTGCAGATTAACAGATGTCAATTCACCCTGTCCTGCCAGTGTGTGGAAGGTGATGTCACTCCCAGTGTACAGTTGGGGTATTTCAGTCTTCGTGTTGCCTCTTTGGAGATTTGTGAGGAGTGTAGGGGGCTGCAGACAAATAATTAACTTCATTGTTTTCCTTCGATGATTCAACCAAATTCATTATTGATTATGCAAGTTACCAATGACCGAGGGTAGATCCTTCATTTGAATAATTTGGGAGTATAATTCAATGGATTAATTATGGAGCTCATTATGACGCAAATGAGAGCATCCAGGTCTTATATTTATTTATGCATGAAACAATGATTTTTTTTTCAATCTCAATGAAATTTTCTACTTCACATTTTCAATTCTTGAATAGTGAATTGACGAGAAACATAAAATGAAAATAATCACGTACTTTGTAAGGTTGGAATGCACTTGTTCTCGTCGCATCCTGCCATGCCCCAGGTGCCCAGTGCCATTTATTCTCGATTGGCTCGGATTTGCAATCAATGTTTACATTCTCTGGTTTACAAATGAGTGGTCTGGGCCTGATGGAGCCCTCCGTTCCCTCGCGTACTCCAATCGTACTGTCATCGACGAACTCCAGGGTCTCGTTGGCAGGTTCTATCGTCTCTTCTTTCAGAATCAACTGTGTATGCAGTTCTGCACTCATTGTTGGGCCCAAACGATTCAAGCCAATTCCTTTTACAACACTTTTTTATATTTTATTCAATGAAATTCGTGGACTGCGTACACTCTGCACTCATCGTCTGCAGCCTCCCCACTCCACAAAATTCATTGGACCTTCCCCCCCCCCCCTCGCGACACTACCAACAATTACCAATAGCAAAGCATGCGTGGAAAAAATACAATGCGATATTTTTATTGAATAAACAAAAACTCCAACAAGTGAATTTACTGTAATTGTTGAATTGTTTTTGTAAAACAATCGGGATTGAATACTTTGGAACTGTTGTATCTCCACGTGACCAACGTAAACAAAAAAATAACTCCGAAATTGACGTTGAACATAACTCAACGAAAAATCGATAGCATAAAAAAATTTGAGTTGAGGAATATCCGGAGAGTTCGAAGCAAATTAATTGAGATAATTAACTAGACTTTGGTGGAGTAATTTTGAAACCAATAACCTCAAAAAATGGAGGGATACACATTGCAACTGGACCCAAGAACCGGTAAATACCTGACCCTTCACCTATTCACGAATGTCGAGAATACGAGAGAAATAAAGAAGAGGATTCAAGCTGGGAAGCTTCAGTGTTGCATTCTCAAGGCGAGTATGATCGTCGAACCGTTCCAGGTGGTGGTGGCTGCTAACAAAGCTGTCCTCCGGATGAACTCTGGGTCCATGATCACGAGGGGTGTGTTCACAGAGATTCTCTACGCCATTTCCTCGTCGACGAATATCTCCCAGTCGCTGATGAGGTTCGGGATTGATGATAAAGATAGAAATATTGTGGTGGCTTTCATTCATGGAGAGGATGGGAGGGAGGAGCTGGAGGGAGAGGTCCTGGGGCAGATCGAAGGGGAGAGAACGCCGATCTCTAGGCTGAGGGAGTTTGCGGATGTTGGACTCGTCAGGAAGACTTATAAAATTGATGAGGAGGAGCTGAAGGTCTCCAGTCTCGAGGATTCTATTGTCAGTAGGATAGGGGGTGACTATCCAGTGTCGTTGAAATGATTTTTGTAGCAGGAGATGCAGACGATTGATGTAATAATGCGCAGATGAATGGAAAATAAATTGAGTCCCGGATTTAATCTCATTATGCCTTTTATTAATTACCAAATGAATCAATGTTGATGTTGATGAGAAGAATAATTCACCCGGACACGATGATATTACAACCAAGAGTACCCAAAAACCACACCAGTTATCCCAGCAGAACTGGATAAATTATCTCATTAAATTCACTCGCACCATCATCTTGAGGAGTTGTGGGGGGGAAATTATGAAATATTCTTCATAATTTTATCCATTTCTCTCGCTCCTGTATCACAGTTATCACTTGTTTTCTTTTTTTTTAAATTCTATGAATAAAAGTTGATTGAATTCAGGTGCCATTCACATGTCATTTAATTTTTCGTTTTATTTTTTTCTCTCTTAAATATTCAGTTGTAATCAGTCGTAGCTCGGATGTACGTAAAAATTGTTATAACCGATTCTTCAGCGCTCGTCTCAGAGGAGCATCCTAGAAATCACAAGGATTTTTTTCTGTGTTTTCTCACAATTATAATTTAAACCAAATAAAGTTTCTCAAAAAGAACAAAAAAAAGGTGCTGAAACTGAGTTGCCTGTGGGCTGAATTCTCAACAGTTTCTCGGCTTTATTTTCTATATAAATAAGGCAGAGGAGTAAAAAAACGTTGCATTCACTGTGCTACATGCACTACATCCTGTCAAGCAAAGAAAAAAAAGTACAGTTAAAAATTATTCAAATATTTTAGTTTGGGATTAAATTTGGTGACATGTTAAAAAGTGTTGTTACAAATTGAAAAATCTGTTCACAATTTCAGAATTTTTAAATGAAATTATTGTGAAAATGCGATACTAGTGAAAATGACGATATTTTCATTGTATTTCTACTTATTCAATTAATTGAAAATTCCAGAGTACATTCACCTGAATTTTCCTGACTTCCATTAACTTTCATGGAATAAATGAGCTAAAATTGACAGTTTCCATTTATGTTTCCACAAAATTTTAACTTTTCAATAAATTTCTTGTAATTCCAGTGGAACAGTAATACAGCAAAAATGTTAACAGTGTATCTTTGAGAAATAGATTAAAAGAAAAAAATTTTCTGGTACTTTTTATGTACTCAAGACAGTTGTAAAGTAATACCGAAAATTTAAATAGTCAGAGTTACTAAATGAATAACTAATAATTAGAGTTGATAATTCATGACATACCTCGGCAAACTACACATTTCGCAGGTGCCTATCTCAGCTGGATTCAAGAATGTGCAGTGTGGACACGTCCACAGTGGCTGGTTGGAGGATGCATTGACATTGGTGTCCACACCAACGCCCATTCCACCACTGCCAGCAGCCAATGATCCACTGGATCTCGATCCACTACCACCGAAGCCAGTTCGCTGTGAGGATATCGGTGAGGAGGCAGTAGTGGCTGATATGAGCTGTTCAACAGTCGCCCAGTGTTCACTCTTGGCCCACTCCGCTGCCTTCTCTCTGTCGTTGGTTCGGATTGCCTCGAGCAACTCCGGCATGTGCTCCATCATGGGGAGCATGTCCATCGTGGCGATGAACAGGAGCAAGTGAAAATCTGAAATAGCCTCCATGAATTGATCCGAGGTGAACTGCTGCATGTACGTGCACAGTGAACTGAACTCCTGGATCTGGCCGTCCACCAGTCTGCAATTACGTTGAAGAAAAATATTCAATTGTTATAAACATTCAATTGTTCTTATCACATTATTTGAGATTTATTATTCACGAATTATTCGACATTTGGAATATATTTGGGAATTCAGAAATTCTTTTTAACATTCGCTTCTAGTGAATAAATAATGACAATTTTTTTTTGCGGGTTAAACTTTGTTTCAGTTTTAGATCTGCAATTAAGTTGAAGAAAAATATTCAATTGTTCCTATCACATTATTTGACATTTATTATTCATGAATTATTTGACATTTGGAATATATTTGGGAACTTATATATTCTTTTTAACATTCTTTTTTAGTGAATAATTGATGAAAATTCAAAGAATTCAGTTGTTATAAACATTCAATTGTTCTTATCACATTATTTGAAATATATTTGGAAGTTGATTACTTTCTTCTAACATTTCTTTTGTCATGATTTAGTTGTAATGAAATTTTTTTCTATTCCTCGTCAAAATCTCCTCGAAATTTATAATCGAATCATCTTATTTAACCCTAAATCATCACTTACCTGTTTTCAACTGGAAACGGATTGATGTTTTCACTGGCGTAGAATGTGAATTGGGGCGTCAGGGGTGTGGATGCCGGCACATCGACCAGTAAGTACTCAACTGGGAGCGGTCTAGCTAATCTCGACACTTCATTCCCATATGAATCTTTCTCCTGAAACAACAAACCGTAGAACGATAAATCGAAATACGAAGGGCCCCCCCATCAGCCCCGGGGATTTCAATTTCCCGCCGTGTTTCATAATGCCTTATCGATTAATTTCTGTGGATTCACTGCGAAACGCAGAAGCGCCGGGAGAACTGAGCAGGGAAGTCCAATTTACCGGGAATTAATCCTGCACTAAATTGAATCGTTAAAAATGAGGAATTAGGGGATAATTGGGGCACACCCTCCTACACTATTAGGAATTTCCGGAAATTTGAATCCATTTGAGACAGCATTCCATGAAATTTCTTATTCATCTTAATTTTTAGAAATTTTCATGGAACAATTGAACCGAAATTTACAGTTTTCGTCGATATTTTCCTCCAAACGAAATTTTTAATCATACAATTCCTTGAAATTTCAGTGGAACAGTGATGCGACAAAATGTTCCCATAAATTTCATTTGAAATAATAATTTTCCAACAGCGATGACTTTTGCCTCATTCTCCAGCCCAAAAGTCCCCAAAAATAGAAAAAATCACCGAAATAAAATTCATCAAAAGTTCCCCTTTCGTTTCCAAAAATCCGTTCTGCCCCGGTGTGCCTCATCAATCCCAAAAGTTTGAAATTCCCGCCGAGATCGATCAACGTCCACCCTCTCCCGCCATCAATCACCGTCAGATAATCCCCACGAAATGTCAAAAACCCATCGCACGTTAAAATTAAATAAAAAAAAATCCCCGAATCAATATCCAGCGGCGATAAGTGATATTTCTCCCGTACAACCGGCCCCATTGGCCGGAGATAAATTGGCGGCAGGTTCGTCGGTTCGTTGATACCAGAAAATGGCGTTCCCCGAAGCATCGGCGAAATAACGGGGTGAGGGAAAGGAGTAGCAAGCAACAGCGTTTTGTGGAGAGGGTCGAACACCGCGGTAGGGAGGTGAAATGCTGTATCGCGGGGTACAGCTAGTGAGCAGCGCCAGCGCGGTGTGGTGTGTCGGTCGGTAGTGGTCGTCGGCTCGGGATTTTCCCCCTCGCCGCCATGCCAGTGGTTAGTGTAGTCAACCAAACATCATGATGTGGCAATACGTTAGCGCTGGGGTTGAATTTCAATAAAAAAACACAACCACAATTCAATCAGATAAAAGGGAAGAGCCCAGCTCTGACAAGAGTTACCCAAAAGCCTGGGTCAACCACTCATTAATCGTGATTTATCAGCTCCCCGTGACACAGTGGTGTACGTGATTTTTAACAAAAAGTGTTGACGTGAAGTATTGTGAATTGACAAAACACCGACTGTTGTCCGAGTGCCGCTGAGCGCGGGAGTAAATAGTTGTGACTAAAATTCCGAGAATTATTCGCATTTTCTTGTAAACATACTGTGAATGTTCGCCGGTGGTGGAGCAATGTCACATGGACCGGATTATCGGGAATTCATGACGAGATAAAAAGGAAGAAAACCTGGTAAACTGCGGAGAGGCAGTGGAAGGTGCGGGCGGGAACATCCTCTCCTCTCGCACCTCACCGAATTGCCCATCACGACACGACTGGGATCATCTGCCTCCCAGTCATCGTACCCATCACGACACGGTACGGCTTCATCATTTTTTTTTTTTTTATCATCCGCGGGAATTAGGATTCGCAATAAATGCGCGGGAATTCGCGAAAGGTGATGTGTGGTACCACTCCTCGAGGCGTAACGCGGCTACCGGCAACCTCTCTCCCCTCTTTATTCTCTCTCGTGCATGTGGGTTATTTGCACTCTGTTGTGTGTTGTCGGGCAAAAGCGCGGGTAATCCGTGGCCTGCATTAAAATTTTATACTTGAGGGGATATTGAGGGGTTTTAGTGACCCATTACTGGTGAAATTATTCCCTCGTTTCATTTTTTATGGATAGAAATCAATATTTTTAATTGAATTTTCAACCTTCAATTTTTAAACTGCCTTCGGCAGCGAGATTAGGGCATTTTAATGACGAAATTGAAACCAAGGGACGGAAATTGTTTCAGGTAATCTATCAATGATTCACGTTTGCTCGATAATTGACTCGTCCTACCTCATTACGCGGTAATTACGTTCCCAATTAATAAGAATTTTTCGTCGTTTTTTGAGTCATGGAAGAATGAGAGATTGAGTTTCATTCGGTAGTTTCATCGCCTTTGCGAATACAACTTTTTAAATATTTTTTTTTCTCGACTGTGGCTCTGCGAACCGCCCCCTTTTCATTTCTCTTGCAGCATGCACATCCGCCCGCTGATATTCCACTGGGCGTTTTGGCGGGCTTACGAACGCACGCGCATTCCAAACGTCATCCAGAATTTTTATCGTTCGATCGGCAGAGAAATAAAAACCCCCGTTGAGATTACCGACCCTGTTGCATAATCCCATTGACGTGGATCTAATTCAACAGATGCTGGATCCAAGTGTGCTCACAGACCTTGAGGAATTGACTCTGTGTGGTTATTGCAAGTTAAAGTACAACGACGACGATCAATGCCCGAAATACCTGAGTTGCAAGCACTACTTTTGCTTGCGCTGCATTGAGAATAATTTACTCAAGGGACGTGAATTATTCTGCGCACACTGTTGGAAGAGAACCGAACTCGGTGATCAGGGGCCCGATGCACTTCCCACAAATTCACCAGTACTGGCACTGGCCAATCATTTTTCCTACCTCAAGAGAAGCAGTAATGGCACAACAGTTAAGCCAGCGGAGAAAGAGAGAAAGGTAATTTATTATCTGGAGAGTTTTACGATTGAGATTTCAAGGAAAAATGTCTTGCAGTATCAAGTAACTAGTAACTCTGGGGGAATTCCGCGTCTTGTTATTGGCGAGTGAATCGAATATTCGATGAAATTTCAATTTTTAGAATCTAACGGTCATTGAAATTATTGCAAACTGTGGGAATTCAGGCGACTATTACTTTGAATTCCCAATTTATTCTTTTTTGTACACCCAGAGAAATGGCTTAATTGAAGCAAATGAACTTGATTTTTAGCAGCGGTTTTTTCCATCAAATAAATCGTTCATCTCATTTTATTACGAGATCTATTTAGAATGACTGAATTATTTATTTCGTATAATTGAAACATTTTCATTGACATCAATCCATGAATTCATCAATTTCCATTCAAAAAATGTTTTTTTTGGGCTGGCCTATTTTAAATTACCGAAATGATAAGGAAATGAAAATGAATTAATCTGAGAGAATCTGCCTTACATTAAAGTGCACACGACAAAGTGTGAATCCATACCACTGTCATAAGCGGATTGTGATGTAAGTCAGAGCCCTGGGTCTGAAATGTGAACAGTCTAGTCGATCTAAACTGGTAAAACACTTGAACGCATATTATGCTGTCTGTTTCCCTCATTCGTCGATTTTTCACAATGATTTTAGAGCGAAAATTGCCACACACATGGTATGCCCCTTGCCCTGTGGTGCACAACGTGTTGCACATCACTGTGTCGAGCCTGCGCGACACCGCAGGATCATCCTGGCCATCAGATCAAGACTCAGACGGATGCCAAAGAACAGCTCATATCCGACGTTAGTATTTTCAGTATTGACGTGTCTAATGTCAGAGATTTATCGTTATTTTCACCGAAATTCTAGCTTCTGTTTCATTCGTACATAATGACTAGGGGTGTGATCTATTATTAAAGTTGGAAAAGAACCCATGGACACCAAGATTCATTAATAAAAGTCTAATCATCGTGAATTTTAATGAACTCCTCAAGTTATCTCTGTAATAATTCATTCTGCATCGTTAATATGTCAATCAATGAAATATTAATATCATGCTTTTGTTCGCTATGAAATTACCCCAACAACACGTGAATTTGGGGGAAATGTCAAGAAATATTTAAACAAATAACGAAAATGAATTATTACTTTGCATCAATTCGCTTTGGATTCATGATATTTTTTGCTTTTTACTTAGAAATGAGTCACAATGAGAGAATTATTCACTCGAAATGATTGATTTTTTTTTAAAGCCAAAGGAACCCCTTTTCGTCATAAAAACAAAGTTGGTAAACATAAAGTAAATAATAGAATAAAAATTCACCCTTCATCGTTAAGATGTCAATCACTGAAATATTAATGTCATGATTTTGTCTACTACAAAATTACCCCAATAACACGTGATTATAGTGGAAATATCAAGAAACATTTACATAAACAACAAAAATGAATTAGTGAAACGTAATGATTCATTATGAAAGATTGATTCTTCGAAAAAGCCTATGGAATCCTCTTTTACCCGTAAAAAAATTATTGAGCGTGAAGGAAAATAATAAATTCTTCGCCACCAACATGTCAATTGAATAATCGATACAACTCAATAATTGATTTCCCCAAAGGTTCAACTGGAACTAGTAACAATGGGCAAGTTATCAACGGAGATTCAGCGCCTAGCGATGCAACAACGAGAATTTTTGATAAAAGTCCTAGAAGCCTGCGTGACCCTGAAGACCCACGTTGAAACCGACCTCCAAAATGGCTGGACGCACTTCCCCGAGATATCGGACGCCCGTGAGACCCTTGGAAAAGCAAAAGCGAGCCTGCAAGTGAGTGACAACCCCTCTGACGTCTGCACCCTTCACGCCCAACTAGCCATGGAGAAACAACGACTCCAATCAAAGTACCAGGAGATGATGCTGCAGTGTCAGTTGGACGATCTAATAGGAAATTCAGGTGTAGTCTTCGATTTTGCTCTACTAAAACAGGCCCTAGCGGGCATTCACTCGGGCGAGCAGATCCTCCCGCCCGGGGGCAATGGAAGAGCCCCAAGTCACATAGCAGCAGCACAAAATCCCATTCTATTTCTCGCTAATTACTGCATGTCACAGCTGTACTCGCGTCACGTTCTCAGCAAGCAACACATTCAGAACGGTTCGATAGACTATCATCACGTGAATATGATGCCCCCGGGTTCAATACAAATTCACCCAGTTCCCCTGGCGCCTCAAGCCCAAACCGCCCAATTACTCATACAACCTGGCTCACCCTCGTTAAAAACCGTGCCAGTACCGAATTCAATACTTCAGCCACAAAACGCGTACATTCAAGACACAAGCCCAGGCAGTGGTGGCAATCCCCCTCCGCTGGTCTCAGTTCTCTCACCGACTCAGGTAAACAACAATAACATCACCCTGAGGGCACCCCCCAACCCCTACCCCATGTACTATTTTAATATCGAGGTCAATGGCTCGCCACATGGGAGGATTGTCATCGAGGTACGACCCGATGTGGCACCAAAAATGGCCAAGAACTTCAGTGTTCTTGCAACAGGTGAAATTGGCGTTGGGTACAAGGGCTGCTCGATCTTCCAGTGCTGGGAGGGTGAGTCCGTCATCACCGGGGATTTCGAGCTCAATAATGGAAGAGGGGGGAGAAGTATCTTCGAGGATGGCTATTTTATGCCCGACGACACCAAGTTTCCAGCTGTCAGGGGCGCTGTCGGTATGCGACGAACGCAGAAGCGTCACGATAATATGGGAATGGTGGGCTCACAGTTCAGAATTATTCTCCAGGAGATGAGGGGCTTCACTGGTATATTTGGACATGTTGTCGAGGGGCTGGAGTTGATTGAGAAAATTTCCACTTATGGCGATCAGACTGGAAAGCCCACCAAGAACATTTTAATCACCAAGTGTGGTAAATTGTAACGTTCAATTTCTTGTTATGATTGTGATTACGTTATGCCGACGATCTCTGTGAGCTTTCTTTGTGAGGATTAATGGGGTTTATGGGGTAGGGGTTAAGGGGTTTGGGATGCATTGTTTATGACGATAATATTGGGGTTTAGAATGAGGGAATTGTCATTGTAGAGTGGGTAAGATTTATGGAATGTTGAAATCTATTTTTAAAATTGAGAATTTATGAGAGAAGACTATGAACATGCGAATATTATATTTAAAAACTGTATTTTGCTAATAACGGTGGAATTTTGAGGGGTGAACTATTCCAGGGAGGATATTGTTTTAGATAATGATTATTGATCGACACAATATGTACCTCAGAATCGATCGTATATCGATTTCTAAACTCTTAGATGTATGATAATCGTGTTATTCGAATTTATATATTTTTTTTTGTTTTCTGAGTGCGAAACGAGGATATCATTGGATTATTTTTATGACAAATGCAACAACAATTACGTAGAATTGTTCGATACGATAATGAGAAACTTATATTTAGAGCAATCCATAAAATCGGGAGTAATCATGAATATTGAATAATTCGTGCATTGCACAAAAGCGAATATATCGATAAATATAAAATATATTTTTAGTCGGAGGACTCTACATGTGTGTTTAACTCGCTGAATGGCTCTTCAGCGTCAGCAAATGAATGTGAATAATCTTATGATACGTGTAGCTTGCTTAAAGAATTTATCCAGCAATGGATAATCTATGACTGATATAAGTAGACCATTGATTTTTCGTTCTATCGATGTGGTGTTAATCAATGGATTATTAACCACAAATGAAGCAAAAGAGAATTGGAGCACCCGAGAGAGTGTCACTCAACTAATCCCCGTTTCCCACAGATCAATGAAAGAATATTATAAACTCAAGTAAATAAATAATGTCGTCCTTGCTCCTCTTTTTTGCTTCGCCCAGCAACTGTCGAGGCCCATGTTAATTTTAATTTTATTCGATATTAGACGATTCTTAATTGTGCAAATGTATCCGAGGCCTAATTGAAGCGTAGAACGCGAAAATTTACCTCGTTAATTTCTGATCGACGCATGGAGAACTATTTCCAGTAAAAATAGTCCTGAAATTTAGTCATCGTGGGGTGTATTGAATTTTTAGGAATTTTCATCAAAACTTGAGTAAAAATTACATAAAAAAGTTATAATTTTCACTAAAGTGTAGAAAATAAATTTTTTTTCTACTAGAAGGACAACAAAATGTTTCAAGTCTTTTTTTCTAGAATTATAATCAGAATTCCTGTAAAGTCTGTACACCAAACGATTACTAGAATTTAGCTCCGTGATCAATGTGTGATTAATTGAGAAGAGAGAGGGAGCCAATATATTATATCTACGTATAATTGGACATTGAAGCAAATACTACAATTACAAAATTTATTTAAAAAGTGGAACAAACGAAACAAAATGAAATATTTTAAAATCTCTGTGAAATCGTTCGTTATACTATATGATAAAAATGTAACCACGAATACTCGCGCGTTCATTGAAAAATGAAAAAAATTAATATTTCATGTACGTGGCATTACTCTATGCGGAATAGAAAAAAAGGGGGTAAATGGACAGAAAATGTCCACATGAATACCGAAAAATAAATAGAAAAAAACAGTTTAAATATTCAGGCCACGTCGTCTGCGGATGCCTTCTACGAGGATATACCTCACTCGATGTTGAACTTGAAAGTTCCAAAGCAAAACTTGTTGATTAAATGGTAAATGTGTTTTATGTGTGACAAACGACGAGTTCAAACGACGAAAAATAACCGAAAAAAAAATGATAAAACTATATTAACGAAGAAAAACGAGTTCGCTGACTAGACATAAGAACGATTGAAGAGACGATAAAGCGTGTGTCGTGATTAGACTTTTAAGAAAAATATAAAAATGTGAAATTTATTCCAAAGCGAGCGAGACGATATGTGCAAGTATATTTTTCGAGCTCCGACGTATAGCACCAGCGCCAAAAAAAAATTAATATCGAGATGACTATATTACGATTCCACTGGGAATGGCGTGTTCTCCCACCTGTATATAGATATATTTTTATGAAAGAGACGAGGCAATGTGTAGCTTATACAAAACTAGAGAGATACATTGGAACATCTAGTCCTCGTCCTCACAAATCGAAAAAACTGCAGTAAAAATTCAACGAAAATAACGAAATGAAATGAATTAATCATTAGTTTATCTGCATTTTCCACTGCTGTTCTGTTAGTTTGTTCGGTCATTGTGTTATTTTATAAAGGGATCTATATGTACTTTCGTTGATACTATCTGCGCATAAAATAATCTTATACTCGATGTACTTGAAAGGAAACCTGTCGATTTGGTTTATAAACTACTTGATTTCGTTCAGCCTCGGGTGTCTCTTTTATTTGATCCTAAACGTTATTCGAGAGCACATGAGAGATGAATTTTCATGTTTGCTTACCTTGTAGTAAACATCTGGGACGTATTGCTTGTCCGTGGACTCGATGACGTAGCCTAGCTCTGGGGCGTCTTTCGTTGGCACAAAACAACCGTCTCGTACGAGGGCCATGCACTGATTGGAGACCTGGTAACCCTCCATGTGTACTTGGTTCTTGTCATCACCTGAAAATCAATGCAACAAAAAGAACATTCAATTAATTATGAATTATCTGCACTGTTGGAAAATTACTCTTTAAATGGCACGAAAAAAAATTCAACAATTTACATGAAATTTCCAACGAATTGATTAATTTCTTGAATATTGAATGAAATTGCAATTTTCAGGTCCACACGATACTGAAATGGGTGGCTTCAAGATGAACGAGAAAGTTCATGAATGATTTTATCGTAAATAATTTACAAACCATCATATTTTCACCCTCAAGACCATGTCTTCAAATGTTTAAAGAATTTCCACGCTTTATTCATAAAAAAAAATTTTCTTTGCCAAAGTATTTAATGTATAAAGTACAGTAAGACACTGATTTTATCCATTAAAAATTGATAATGAGTCGAAAGAATGCATGAAGTTATTTTAAAACAGTAATTCTGCATTATCCTTTCTGTTAAAATGATTAGTTATTACCTGTTACGCAGACAGTGACAAATTTCGATCCAAAAGATCCGCTAGGTGAGAACCGACAGGGATTGGGATGTTGATTCTGATAATGTCCAGCCATGATGCACTCTTGAGCAGTGAGGAAATGGCTCTCAATATTCCTAACGTGTTTGACAGTGCCCCTCTTGACATCATCAGCGATCAAGTCAGTAAAAATCCAGCCAACTCTCCTCAGATCGAGCTTGCGTGCCACTTCCTCAACAAGAGTGTCCGTATCGTCTGGGAGAAGTACAATCGAGTCCCTCGTGCTCTCCTGGGGTGGCTCGTAGATCGCTGCCACCACTGCCCTTATCCCAAGTGGCACATCCGCGTGAATCTCGTATCTACCGTACAGATAGCCCAGACGTTGGTGACCAGTACTTCGCCAGTAGTTGAGGAAACGCTCGACTAAACTTGCATTCTCGAAAACAACGTTATCGATGTGACGGTAAGGCTGACGATTGAGTGTTATTGCGTTGGGCTGGCATTTGCTGCAGATACCGCGTGGCCAAGGGGGATGGTCCTTGCAGCCTCTCTTTATACGACAGCTTATGTCCTCTAATTGTAGGAACTTCCCTCTGGAAAATCATTCGTTGGAAATGGATTCGCATATTTTTTATAAACTCCAAAAATTCTGGTTTCATAAAATGAAATTGTACGGAATTGCCGACGTTAAGGATGTTTATCCTTAACTGAGAGATGAAGATCTTCACTTTGATTAAAATTTCAATCCACCAACCCATGTTCATTATTTAGAAATGAAATAGACAAAATCCACCAAAAGCATGCGCTAACAGGCCTTATGTGAAATAGAATCATTCAAATATTTCTTCTTTTTGCCCGGGTACCGCAGATTTTTCTCTGGCCATTGAATTTAGTCCGACTGTACACATTACCTTCTATTTTTGAGTCTTCTAGTAGGTGAATTATCAATTTGAACATAAATTTCATAAGAGCTTGTGTACAAGGGAAAAAGAGTTTATTCATTTCTGCCGAGACTATTGCGATTAATTTTATATGTTCTGCTGTCAGCCGAAAAAATTACAGAATTTTCCTTGACCACGAAAAAACCACATTTACCAACACTGGCTAAATATACTTAATTACCTGTCTACTCCGGCAGTGAGTTTCCTGAGATAAGAGTGAAAAGACAAATGTTTGACATTCTGTTCTTTCAAATAAGCCTCATCGAACGGTTCTAGCGGTGAGCAGTGGACGCAGCATCCATTAGCCCCATGCCTGCACCTGAAATCCCAGAAAAAAATTATAAACACCTCATCAATTCCCTGAAAACAATGAAAACCCTCGAAAACGCACAATTTCTCATCGCGTTTCCGCTGAATTTTCCCATCCATTTTCCAAAGCTGCTGGTCCACTTCATCCTCATCGACATTAGCAAGAGGTCGAGCTGTGACAGTGGGTCGTCCACTCGTGCCCCGACTAGTGCTGGGGGTCACTTCCATGGGTGTCACATCAGCTGGAACCAAAAATAAAAGAATAAACCAATGACTAATCACTCAAGTTGAAAAAATACGCACTGCTTCCAGTGGAATTTTGAGCAGAGGTGTTGCTAGATGAATTATTCCATAGAAAAGCACCATTGAGAGGGGCAAGGTAGAGCATGTCTCCGTGGCCGAGGCCACAGGCGGCTATCGATTTGCTTTTCGATGAGAGTATCTCATTCTTGTGATTTCTCTCCTTGTAGAGGCTGAATCCAAAGCTGTTGAGTTGAAATGCTTCGTAAACCTGAAAGGGAGAGTTAGTAAGTCACTTGATGCCTCCAATAATCATCACAAAATGTGACAAAGTAATTTAACAAATCAATGAGCCCAATCGATTCATAAATCCCTGGATTTTAACTAATTTAATTGGAGATTTTAACTAATTTAATTGGATAATTACCTTTTCAAAGAGCTGGGAAAGACTGTCAGTGGGATCGACGTCAATCCTTTTTGTTCCCTCTGGCGACTGGACCCTGAGTGTCTGCAACAGTGAAAGGCCCCAATGAATCCCCCAAAGGCTCCGAAACATTCCTCAACCCCCAAATGAACCGATCAAGCTGAATAAACCGAGTGCAGTGGCGTCTATCGCGCGCTAGCTACATATCGCGTACGTTTCTACAGCAACGCTAGTCACTCCAGCCTGGACGCGTGTGTCCACCGCTGGTAAACAATCTCAAAGCTCCCTACGAGGTGCTCCAATATCCGAGCAAGCAATGCAAAACGTTCTCGATCGAGAGCGCGTATCTTGGAAATTGCTGATGAATCGATAAGTAATAAGCCCGATTATAATTTAACTTACAATTTCCCTTGATTTTGACATTTCGCCGGTGGCTGTGAAGCATCAGCTGTTCGGAGCTCTGTCCCGCTTGTCTGGTGATCACCAAAAGCTCCAACAGTATGTGTACAAAGTCCCTAGAAGGTTGTATTATGCGATAAAAAAAAAATTAACCAAACAAGCACAATGAAAATTTATGCCGAGTCAACTCCTGGGCGACCTAACCTACAAATAACTTGACGTTATGAGTCAATTATTTCGGCTTGATTGAGTAAATTTCTTGGGGTTTTTCGCACACACCCACGAGAGATTCAACGGTTTCTGGTCACTGGAATTGTTGGATTAATGTGCAGCGGTCAAGGCGATTTGATAATTAAATCGACGTTGCGGTAATCCTGAGTTTTCGCACAACGATAACACCAGGACGTTTCTTTCTGTCACGTTACTCCGTTTCGCTGACGCACACAGTCGCAACTGCACGCCACTGCGGGAACTAGGGGTGAAGTCTGTGTGACACCACTACAGGGATAGCGGGACAGAGTGAGTAAGCGAAATGAATAAGAGAGCTTCAGAATCTTTGAGGCTTTTTGTGTCTCGCCCGGGCGGTCTTCGCGGTATTCCATGCGTTGGGAGACTAGGCGTCATTCTTTTTGCGTTGTTGATCGATTATTTTTTGATGATTAATTATCATCTTGGGGGGTTCCCGGGGCTTGGTGAGCGGGTCAAGGCTCTCGGTTTATGAATTTGGAAAGTAATTAGTTAGATTTCCTCTTTATTCTTTTGCAGGTGGTTTTTTAAAATTACCTTTGTTCCATTTATTTTAATTGTTCGGGCTTGTTCTTCTTAGACAAGTTAACACAATTTTTTATTTTGGATTTTTGGACTTATATTTGGCAGGGTTGCCACATTTTGGCGGTTTATAGCCAAAATCTGTACAATTTTAAATGGGATGACGTCACGATCTGTTAACACTGATATTTGGATTTCGATTTTCGGGGCAACCGGAAATTTCACTATTTAAATTTCTGCAGAATTCAAAATAAAAAAACTACTATTATATTTTACTGAAAAGAATTATTATTATTTCAAGTAATTGATTTTTCAGTTTTATAATTAATTAATAATTAATTTTTCGGTTTTATATTTAAATTTACGGAGCAACCGGAAGTTTTGATATTTAAATTTCTAATTGTGTAATTAATTGGTGCCTTCAATAATTAAATTTTTTTTTTCCAAAAATGCAAGTAACAATTTTTAATTAATTTTGTTGGCGTTTGCCAACTCTCAGACTTTTTTTTTTAATGCAAGAAAATGCAATTTATAATTTACAATTCCTAAGCTCCCAAAGCTTTTGAACTCAATATCCGAACTAACCGGAAGTCTTTCTATTTAAACTTCTGCAGAGTTCTGCTGTCTCCAATAATTAATTCTCCGTTGACCCCTTTGGCGACTTCTCTGCATTATCTCATCTCTAGATGCACCTCCTTAAATCACTGCCCCAGGTCGAGTATAAGTTGACCCTCTTTTCTGACGAGTCCTCCTCTTAATATTTCGTTAAAACCTCTACGTGCCAAGATGTTGCTACCGCCCTCTCCATTTTTCTGTCCATCCTCTTCCCACTTCCTACCTTCTTCCTACTTGGGCTTGTTGGGTCTCTCACTCGGGATTGTCCACACCGCTCACTAGTTGTAGTTGTGAAATTCTCGGTCGTAGACGCGTGGTGGATGCATTTGCCAGGCAGTTGCCCACCTAGCGACACTGCCGAGGGCATTTTACCCCGTTTCAGGGGACACTTCCGGCCTTTGTGAGCGAAATTTCATTCGAATAGTTCGTGATTAAGTGATAGTATTCGAGACCAAAAAGTGAAAAAAATCTCTCCAATTTATTCCGCTGTTCCCACATCTGTGAGTCCTTCAGGTACGTCAGGAAAAGCTCCTCATCCCCTAGAATAAATCATTCAAATTGCCACCGGGAAACCGAAGACAGACTGATTTACCGGCCTCGACTCGATAAACTAATCGATGAAGATAATGTCGATCACTGCTCGATCAATCCCTGCAGCTTTCATCGCCCGGAAAGCCCCCTTTTATTTATTTTAAATGCCCACCGAGGCCAATGATCGACACGTGATGATCGACAGAGTAAATTCACTCGACGTGACTCACCCCAACACTAATCACTCATTAGTACTTTCGATTCGCATGTGCCACCCGGCGATTATTTGACTTCTCTTAGTTCAAGTTTAGTATTTTACGCAATCATGTACCGGTATATACCGCGAGTTCATCAAGGAAGATTTGTGAGTATTGAGAAGGGAGAAATTGAAATGTACAGTTGGCGGAATGCCAGGTGCCAAAATAAAGCCCTAGGACCTCGAAGTACTTTAACAATTATTCAGAAATCTGTTGGGTCTTCGTGGTTTCTCGAGTTATTTATTCCCCAGAGCTTCGGTTCTTTCTTGTCTGATCTAAGAGGAGAAGTTCTACTGGTGTTGAAGGGTTTGATATTAATAAGACGTTTTTCCTACGATATAACCGATTTTATCCTTGAGGTTTATTCGTTGAGTAAACAATTATCAATTGACTGATGGGATTAAATCGAGAAGGATTGTTACACCGTTAGAAAATTATTTTTGAACGAATAATTTACAGGAAAGTTTCATAGATTTGTTCTCAGGTTTAAAAAACATGAAAATTACTTAATATCTTGGAAATTCAAGTAACTATTTTTCAGAATCCTCAATCTGTTGTGAATTCAATTGAATGTAATGCTTAATTTTTAATTTGAATATCCATGTCATTTTTGAAATTTTAGTATTCATTCATCATAAAAACTCATTTCAATTCAATTTAATGTAATGTAATCTTCAAATGTAATTGTCACTTAAATTTGAAGATATTGCTAATGGTTCATTGAATTAAATTTATCAACTGTTGATTTCAGTTAGGCACGATGGAAGACGCTGACGAGATGGGTACAAAAGTAGAATTATACGTCTACGACCTGACCAAGGGAATGGCAGCAATGATGTCGCAGATTCTCATAGGTAAACGTCACTGGAATTCAAAATGTTTTCTTGAAAAATAAATGACACGTCACAAAGCCACCGTCTACCATCGCCGAATGAAATTCCCCTGGACTTTGTTCGTAAAAATAAATCGATTCCTACGGAGGTGGATTCCTCTTACATATTTCGTCGGCTTTTTTCACTCCGGCATTTTCGAGTACTATCAGAGTATTCGAGCGTCACCCTGTGACAGTGCCAAATGCAGTCACTCTACGAATATAAATTGGGCGAAAATTCAGAGATTTCTATTTTCGCGTCTTTTGTCTGACCGATGAGTTAATAATAAACCGTGAAATATATTCTGAAACATATAACACGATGACGATTCGATATTTTATTCCAGTGAAATAACGACACTGGGGCTCTTTAACGAGCTCTTTAACACCAAGCAAATAGACAATTTACCCACAACGCAATGAATTATTTATACACGAAAAAGCTTGGCATGCAGAATTGCGGAAACTCGTGCACTGAAAACACACGGACGATACGTAAAAATAATACCCATATTCAACGGTTAATTTAGCACGAGAACAGAATAAAAGAAATTAAAGTGGAATCCCGAGGTATTTCGGGAGATTACGTGCAATTGCATTCGGTATTTTGATGGCCATCCTTGAGGCTCATTAATGCGATTTCTCGCTCTGAGGACCTCTGAGGTTTCTGACCCCTCGCAGCTGGGGTCCCCGAGATACCGACTAAATTGGCCTACCGAGAAAACCGCGCCAGAATAGAATACTCAACCCCATGTGACGGTGTCAAGAATGAAAAAGAATATTAAAGAAATGAGATTAGTGACTCACGGAAGTGTTTTCTATTTTTGAAAAATGTAGGTCAAATGTTCGTCTTTTGCATAATGCCGGGTTTTGCTGAGTTCCATTGAACCTTCAGTGCTGTAGTAGTTTCAGGGAAATGTAAATTGTTGATGTTTGGGGGATATTGTTGAGTTTCAAGGTGGAAGCCTCGAGATTGTTTATCAATGCAAGTTGTAATGTGGATGGACCTGATTCGAATGATTTCCATCACTTTGTTTCAACATGAAACATTCTGTTTAAAACGCAAGCTGAAGAGTGCAAATGCATTCGTTTGTAAAATTATTTTTCGAATTCTACGAAACATATTAGATCTATTGGATTCTAACTCGAAGAGATTAACTGCTGTTAGGAATTTTATGTGGATTTTGAGCGGAATATCTAGAATAAGAAAAAATAAAATATTTTTACGGATATACAGAGACACAAGACACTTGGAAAGATTAAATATTGCAGTAGATAAATTATGAAATTAAAGGAAGAATTCCCAGAATTAAATTAACTGTAGAGTAGTATATTCTCAACGTGATGATTGCTGCATTTCTTGTATTATTGTTATTTTTGAATAATGCATTTGGCATCTAATGCAAATGTATTAAAAATTTCCAATAAAAACTTACAATATTTTGTTTTAAATTCTAAGGAAGATTGAGTACCAATAAAAAAGTCGCCAAATCACGTGGAAATGAAAAACAAATAAATTCGCAAAAATATTTGATAATTGAATAAATTTCTTTCTCAGGTCGTCACCTGGACGGTGTTTGGCATACAGCAATAGTCGCCTACGGTCGCGAGTACTTCTTCGGCCCCTCGGGAATTCAGAGTGTCAGACCCGTAAGTAGAGCCCCCAAAAATTCCCCCAAATTGATCAAGTTTAACGACCGCAGAGGTGTTGACATCCCGAGACACGTGAAGACGGGATAAAAACACATCCACACGTCCCTTCAATCTCCCAACTCGTCTCTTTCTCATTCTGAGCCCCTCTTCCTCTCGTTTCCCTCTTCTCCCTCAATTTTATCTCCTAGTACAACTTGGTAATGCCAGTGGCATCACCGGCCATACGATACGCTCTCGGTCAGACGGTGTTGTACTAAATTTGGTCTGGGTGAGGTCTAAATATAATTCACACCACCCAGCTCGGGTGGTACACTCACGCTCTTCTCATACTCATCTTGGGCGGAACGTCTTAGGGTTTAGAAAAGCCTGCCGGTAAGTCCCCTCAAACTTGTAGTTATCCTCACGTTGAACCCCGAACTCTCCTTGCTGGTGTCCCTGACTTGCCATCAAGTGTATATCATAACTCGAATGTCTTGTGGTTAATGTCCTGTCACGCAACATAACTACCAGATTAAAACGACAAATGTCACCATTTTCATCAGTGAAGTGCCAGTTCAGAATACATTTCTCCTCTGGAATTACGTGAATTTTCACTCCCACGTATGTTGTGAAGTTGATCCATATTTCGAACCATCGTCCTTCATTATCCGATATTTCAGAAAATTGGGAGATTTCGGGGGTTTCTTTCGCGACGAAAATAAATTTCATAGAAAAATTGTGGAAAACATTGCGACTCGCGTTTTTTAGCGTTTCCGATCTAAAATTAGAGCCAACGTGGTGATAAACTCCATCGGAATCTTTCGCGACGAATCTCTGGGGAATAACAATTCTCCTCAATGAGATGGACCTTTTTATTTTCAGGGTGGAACTGTCCTCGGGGAACCAGAGCGAGTTGAGAAGCTTGGCGATACATTTCTCCCGTACTCAGTGTTTTTGGAGTATATTAACGGACTCGGTACATCTAAATTCGTGTGAGTTGGCGAGTTTTTTCACACAATTTCAGGCAATCGAATAATAATTAGGGATATGCATCGATTTTTTTCATTAGGCGGAATTTTTTTAGGTTTGAGAGTAGCTTTCTGATTGCGCATTCAATCCATCTCAATATTTATGGAATATTGATCGAAATATTAAGAGTAGAAAATGTATTCAATACTTTGTTCTTTCTCTCCCGTTTAAAAATGTCTTCCGATGAAAAAAATTGAACGCAAAACCCGAATTACCCCGCAATTGCACCCACACAATTGCGGAATGAACTATGAAACAATAATTCTCCCAGAACTGGCTCGTACCATCTTTTACGGCTGAATTGCAACAGTTTCTCTGACGAGGTGAGCAGTTTCCTCGTGGGCAGTGGTATTCCAAAATACATTTTGGATTTGCCAGAGGAAATTCTCAAGACGTGAGTGCACCCCACGACTCCGACCACAACATGTTTATTCACAAATTATTAATAAAGATTTTCTCATGCAGACCCGTGGGACAGGCATTGGCACCACTCATAGAATCCCTGGCGAGTCAATCCAGCGCGGGTTTTACGGTTGGACAGAGATTCGTCGAACCTAGGATACAGCGCGAAGCATCCCCTGAGTACCAGTTGCTCAATAGTGAAATTGAAGAGGCGAGATTAAATTCAATTGCTTTAGAGGAGAGGCGAAACGTACTGAACGAGAAATTAGCTAAGAAGGAACGCAAGAAGAAAAAGAAGAAGAAGGAGAAGAGGGACAAGGCGTTGAGGGAGCAGAGTGGTAGCGAGAGTAATAGTACAGGCCCTAGTAATTGTGCAGCCATGGCAGATAGTGAGGGTTAGTAAAATATGCAAAAAAATGCGAATTTCGTGGCCAGTTGACTAGTAATTTTTTAGGCAGTATATAATATTGCGAACTTTACAGTTTACTTGAATTTTCAATATATTCACCTGAAACCTCTTGATTTTTATTCATTTCCATAGCATAATCAAACTAAAATTTACAGTTTCCTTAATTTTGAGAAACGAATAGAAAAAATAACAAATAAATGAAAAAATCTCTGAAAACATGAAGAATTTGAATGAATTGATGATTTTATTATGAAAACTGCAGTAGCCGAAATGCAACCAACGAATGGTGACTTGGGAGCAGAAATGTTGCCCTCAGAGCGAGCTCTAGAGATGGAAGCAGCAGAGAGGCGAGAGATAGAGGAGAGAAAACGTCAGAGGGATCCCCCAATTGTATTCAAAGATCTACTGGACGTTGCTGCTGAATTCGAGGCTCTTGTTGGTTTGTTGGAAGGCAAATTGAATGAAACTGAACAGACCAATCTTGAGGAGCTGCGCCAGTACGTCCTGGAGAACGAAGGCTCCTGGGCGTTGGGGGATAATTTCCTCAATTTTGTCGGTGAGTGCTTGAGCTATGCCTAAGTATTCTGCCTGCACAGACGTTTGACTTTTATTCTGACTCTCAGGACGAATCCTTTACGATAAATCACTGGAGAGTGCTGCAAGGGTGAGGCTACTGAACATCCTCAGTGCTGCAGCTCTGAAAGACGATGTAATTCTCCTGCTGCATCAGGACAGGAGGGAACATATAATAATGAACTTCGCGTATGATATCGATCGTCATCCAGTGGAAGAGCAACTTCCTCTTGCACAATTCGTAAGTGTATTATCTCCATATGATCCTCATGAAACCATATTATCCTCATAAAACCTCCCTATGGTCTCCATAAAATAAGAAATTCGATAGAAAATCTATAAAAAATCTACAGGAAATTTTCAAACATGAAAATCTCGTGATGAAAAAATCATACTGTCTTCATCAACTATTCAGTTGTCACATTAATTCTTCCACTGAATTGAGTAGTGAAATAAAAATGCAACAAAACCCCAATGGCAATTGATAAAGCCCTTCGATTTAATTTTGCTAATCCCCTGTCAGATGGCAAATATGTTCGAGAACCTCAGCAGTTCCGAATGGCTCCTCTACATCTCCGAATGGCAACACAACAACCAAGGAATCAGTAACATCAGAGTAACGACTAAAGTTTCAGTGCACTCGCTCCTCTCGGAATGCCCCGACCTCCAGGCGCGTGGCATCGCGATAATCCACAACCTCGCCTGCAAGGAGGTAAAAACTGTGGTCTGTATCCTTCTGGCTTTTCGTCTAACTTATTCCATCATTGATGACAAATAAAATGTAACTCGAGTTGTCTGTCTCACTTGCATTAAACCTCGCCGATAACAGAACGATGTCTAACGTTATCCAAACAGAAGTGCTGCCTTCAGAGTCGTATTATTAACGTCTATGTATCCAAAGAAATGAAAATAAGAACAACAGATAAGAACGTTTACATTGTCGCTGAATGTATAAATGCTTGTTGATTATGTTGACGAAATGAATGACCAAAAAAATATGTGGGGAGGGTGAAATGGATTGTTTTGTAGGGATTGGATATATTTTTTCAGAAAATGAACAAAAACAAAGCCCTCCGGCAACTATTACCCAAAGGCAGCGCTTCTAAGGTACCTATCCCAGTTACTTTTCCCCTTCTATTTGTGACTGCGAGGTGAGTCGATGAAAGACATCCATCACTCATCATTCAATGTATGGAGGAACCTCTGAGAGAATCCGTCATCTGATTTTTTTCATTTTCTGTTGTCATCCAAGATCACTTCATACTCCTTATCGATTCGTTAGGGAAATTACTCAATGATTTTTCCCTCAATTCTTCAGGTGTTTGACGATGTGGCAGTGGAACTGACAATGGCCCTTCTGCAGTACTTCAACGGCAGTCCCTCAGAGGAGCAGCTCTTCGCCTGCATGAAGGCACTGGCCCGTTTCACCCAGATCAGCGGACAAGAAGTGCCCCAGCTCATACAAATGATTGGACCTGAACCCAATAAATTCCGAGAGACATCGCAACGGGTCGATGAAATGATCGACCAAGTCAACAAAAAACTTCGCTGATTTATTCTCGTGAATCAGTTTTTTTATAGGATTTTTATTCATTATTTATTGAATAACGAGCGAACTGGCTCACGATCATTTTTGATGTTTTGACATTTTTTAATTCTGATTTTTACGTCCGAGAAATTCAAAATTTTGGGTGAACGAAGGTGTTTGGGAATAATCTCGTGTGACTTTGCCGATGCCACGTGCACATTTGAATATTTGATGTTGTAATCGATCGTTATGAATAATGTACAGAGGATATAACAATTTTATGGTAATATATTATTTGTTAGAAATAAATATCTGAGAGTAGAAGGATTTCTTTATCATTCCCCTGCATTCTCCGAGAGGTAATTTTTCCATTTGAGACTGAATGATGAGAGGTGGGACGAGACGTGATGAATAGTGTGTAATTGAAGCGTATGAGGTGATTCTAGGCTTCAACTGTTCGTAAATGTTTCTAACAAGGTCTTGCACCGAGCAGAGGGGTTTATTGCCTCGATTTTATGGATAAGTCTGTACGTTGTCATGGTCGAGGCTTCTGGTATTTTGTAGGAAGGAGTCAGGAATTTTCTTATCACTCCGTGTATCCACACAATTGCTTCTAATGTGCTTATAATTTCCATTGTCTTATTTACATCAGGCTCATTGGGAGAGCCTCACAGAGATAATGAGAATGGGTTTATTTGTAATCGTTGTTTGATATTTAATCGCGTGTGTGCCAGTACTACGTTGCTACCGCGTTGTCAGAACGTCGTGAAATTGTCGATAAATAGTAAGTGTTGATAATCAATTGAAAATAAAAGTGATCTTTCCTCTATTCGGGGGTGATTTTGATTCTGAATTACTCCAATAATCCAGGAGAAAAATTGAGAGAAAATAATGAGAATGTGATGGTATTGCAGGTCATTGTCACCGTACACGGAAATTTTCTCAACTTCTGAATAAAAAATTATCACTCCACATTTTTTATCTCCTCTCGGAGATGACGAGATGTTTTGATATAATTCTTCATTGATAACGATTGTGGTTCATTTTCTCATTCACTTGATGAATAAATCGGTAGAAGTACAATTGATCTGAATACTGTCGACTAAAGAGATGATGGAGAATGAGGAGAGCAAGGAGACAGTGCGGAGGAAGAATGCGAAATTCTACATTAACAAATACGTTCCAATAACGAGATGGCTGCCGAAATACTCCAGGTTTTACGCAGTTTCTGACTTCATCGCGGGAATTTCTCTGGGCCTCACTATGATTCCGCAGAGTATTGCCTATGCCGGGCTGGCGCATTTGACTCCGCAGGTATGGAAAAGGAAATGTTTTCGATTCAGGGAATAAATCGAAAAATTATATTCAGATTATTTTGATAATATCTTCGAATCAACGTGATCTTTTCGTTTAGTACGGCTTATACTCTTCGTTCATCGGTGGATTCGTTTACATTTTCTTCGGCACAATCAAAGAAGTCTCGATCGGCGCTACATCGTTGATGGCTCTCGTTACCGCTGAGTTCACCAGCACAAAAAATCCAGATTTTGTGGTGCTACTATGTTTTTTAGCTGGCTGTGCTGAGCTTTGCATGGGAATTTTCAATTTAGGCAGGTGTTTTAGAATAATTATTGCGAAGATACTGTACAGTTGAGCCCACAACGATGATAATCTGTTGAAAATTGCCCCGGATTTTTAGTAATCGTGTAATTTATTCGCCTTTTAGAAATTTTATTGTGACTTGGTGGAAAAATTTGATTTTTTTCCTGCAAAACTAAGGGAATAAGTGATCACTGTACTGTTGCGAATTTTTTACTGAAATTTCCGGTACACTTCTTGGAATTTTTTATCCCCTTCATTCACTCAAAATCGGGCATTCATTAAAAAAAAACACTTCTGATAAACATTGCACATTCATTTAGGTTTTCTAGTCGATTTTATATCGATACCAGTGACGTCTGGCTTCACCTCAGCCACATCGGTCATAATCGTTATTTCTCAACTCCCCGGATTGGTCGGTGTTAAGATTAAATCAGAGAGCATCATACATATCCTAGTGCAACTGTTCGAAAAACGATCGCTGATTCGGTGGAACGATACTGCACTGGGGGTCGCATGTATCCTATTTCTGCTGGCATTCCGAGTGAGTGCCTTCGTACAACTCAATGACAACATTTCGGAGACTCGTTATCAACTATGATAAAGTGTGAAATTTCTCTATTTTTAGAAACTGAAGGATATACCGTGCGATAGCATCAAGCGTCGGAATGAATCAGGAGGGATTATACTCGAAAAAACCCTTTGGTTCCTCTCGATCTCGCGCAATGCGTTGATCGTGGTGATTACGTCTTGCATCACCTTCAGATATCATCAGAATGGAGAGTATATATTTAAAACTGCAGCCACTGTGAGGCCAGGTCTCCCCGAATTCTCTCCACCTCCTTTTTCGACTCAACATGAAAATGTCACGTATTCATTCTCCGAAATGTGTTCCCATCTGGGCTCAGGGATTATCATGGTTCCACTCATTGCAGTTTTGGCTAATGTTGCGATAGCGAAAGCCTTTGGTAAGTTTTATGCAGGGATGGCCAATAATATTAGATTTTGACAATATTAAGAAGGATTATCTCCTTATATTGTTCAAAGTTTAACTACATTAAAAAAATTTAGAATATTATGAAATTTAATAACTCAATTTTCCGATTGATCGTGAATAAAATATTTGATAATATTGAAATGTAATTTTTTAGTTAAGAAGCTAATTCGAAATTTAGGTACTTGAGTTTCGATTATCCAAATAATCTTCAATCTTCCTACCAAAATTATTGGTTAGTAGAATATTTCAAAATTTGAATGTACAAATCGATAGTTAATTTAATATTTAAAATTTTTAAAGATTTATGTTAAAAATTGACGACTTCACAATTTAACGGTAATTATGATTGATGAATATATTGAATATGCCTATCAGTGGTTTTAAGTGTATGGATTAATGGAGAATTGAGAAGAAATAATTAGTGAAGAAATGAAACTGTTTGAATCGACCTATTTTCACTTGATTCTATAATGAATCAAGTGAAAACAAAATTGCGAAAAACTTATGCTGAGCCATTTCATTCATGTCGACGAAATATTAAAAAAATTATCCTCTAAAAGTCTGAAGAATCTAGAATAGTGAACGAGACATCGTCTTTTTGAGAGAATCATCAACATTATCATCATTCTTCCAACATTGCTCATCCTCAAGTGAATTTATCAGCATCGATATGAATATTGTAATTAATTAACGCCGAAATCCAATCCCAGCAATAAACCATTTGTCGACAATTTGTCGACAAATTACCGATGTCCTGTTAAATTTCAGATGGCACTGGCAAAAATTGTTTGCTGGGATGAAGTAGTTAATCATAAATTTCAGTGCGCGATCGTCCAGTGGAAGCAACTCAGGAAATGCTGACCCTCGGTGTGTGCAACATAGCAGGAAGTTTCTTCAGGTCGATGCCGACCTGCGGAGCCTTCACCAGAAGTGCTGTGGGCAGTGCCAGTGGCATCCAGACCCCCATGGCTGGACTCTACTCCGGCATCATGACTCTCCTAGCCCTCAGTTTCCTCACACCCTACTTCGGATTCATTCCAAGATCCACGTTATCAGCTGTGCTCATCGCTGCTGTTATTTTCCTCATCGACGTCAAGATCATGAAGGTCTTGTGGAGAGGCAACAGTGAGTGATCAAGTTGTCAACCCCGCGGATTTAATTATTCAAACCGTAATGGGATACGATTTTTTGTTTTTCTAGAGAAAGATCTGTTCATCGCTGTGGGAACATTCATCATCAGTATTTTGCTCAATGTGGAGACTGGATTGTTGTTTGGAACTGTTGTTAATGCTCTGTTCTTGCTTTATCTTTCTGCGAGACCGACCGTTGAAGTTCATTCGAAAAAGGTAAAATATAACAAGACAACAACAAAAAAAAGATAACGGCACATCAGTCCCTCTTAAGGGGTATTTCACCCGATCTTGAGGACATTTTAAGTTAAACGAAATGTCGAAAGACGTTTTTCTGAAGATTTTTTAGAGCCAGAAAGGTCCTAGACATGAAATTCGCCCCGAAACCCCTCAGAGACGAATAAAAAATTATGAGAAATGCGCGAATAAAAGTCGCCACATGAATTCTTCCCTTCAGCAGTAATTAATGATTTACCCCGTTGCATTTCAGACCATTTTAGACGACAAATACATCCTCGTTAAACCAGAAATAGGCCTGTTTTACCCCGCAGTATCATTCCTGACGGCAAAAATAATCAAAGTAGCGTACCGTGAGGCGAAAGGAATTTACCCAGTTGTTGTGGACTTTGAGAGGCTTCAGGGGATAGATTATACCGCCACCAAAGGGATTGAGAATCTCATCAACGCATTTGAGGGAAAGTGTCAACTGTTGATATTTCTCCACGTCAGTCCTTACGTGGTCAATTCAATCGAGAATTTTGGAGTAACGAAGATCTATTTCATCGACTGCGAGGATCACCTCCTCAACGTTTTCGCCAGTGAGTCGACGCAAACAATCAATTTACCTCCATTTGTTATTTATACTTTCAAACGGGCTTCATTCTCATCCCTTCAATGGAATTAATATTTATCTGTTTATTTTTACCCCAGGTTTAAAGAGAAACAGGAAAGAGGAGGAGACTATTGTCACGACATTCAAGGAACTCCTCGAGAAATCAGAAACTAAAGAGGCTGAATCCCTTCCCGAGGCGGAAACCCTCCTCCCGAATCCGAATTCCATCGCGAGAGCTATTGATTCCCCAACCCGATGAGAATTCTCTCCCCAGAAACAAGAGTAAAACCCCTGAATCCTCTCGGACTGAACTACAGAGGAAACCCAAGACAAATAAATCTCTGTTATCACCCCCTGGGGGTAACAAAGAACCCACAACACAAATAAAAGAGTACTCCAGCTTTAAAACCCCCGCTCTCACCCCGAGAAAACTCCATTCCAACTTCTTTAATTAAATTTAAAGTAATTAGTTACATACGTCGTGACAACTGCACATGTTGTACCTCTGCCGCTGCTTCATCTAGATGGCTCTGATGTTCACAACATCAACCAAAAATCTAGAAGAGACATCACCAAAAAAAAAACAGTTGTTACAAAATAAAAATAATAAAATCGACGCAAAAAAATTGAAAAACATTCCGCAAAAAATCGAAAACTAATGGATCATTGATTTCAGAGCACGTGACTGCTGAGAACTGCTCTCAAACAGCAAATATACATTTTCCGATGTGTAAACTCGAATGAATTAATAATAAAAATGAAAAATCTCCGTATAGAAAAGATCGAAACGTTGGATTTTGCAAATTATTTTCAAACAAACCCACGCAGTAGAGTGAAAGACGGAGGGGGAAGGCATACCTTATATCATACTCTGTTGCTTCCGGTATTGAGTACAGTATCTACCGCCTCGAAAATCATTTCGGCTTTTTGCGATGCGCCTTCCCGCGGTAACCTCAGCAACTCCGTGCCAAGCAATGGAGTCTCATTTTCAATAAAAATCCGTGGTTAGTACGTAAATGTGTTTTTGAGCGTGTTTAAAGTGACAAAAAGCTATTTTTTTTTATCATCGAGTTGTGATAGTGAGAGTTTTAAACGACTGTGAACATCGTTCGAACGCATTGCCGCAGGTGAGTCTGAAAACTCCAAAAATAAAACAAAAATTGAATCACGATTGGTTTCGTACAAAGTTGGATACGAGCGTGGAGGGCTTTACGGTTGGTGTAGAAAAAATATAAATATAACCTATATATATGCGTTGTATATCGGCGCAAATAGCAGGGGCATGCAGAGGGCGGTCAAGCGAGCGAATAAATTTCTCGTCCCCTGCGAACAACAAACAAGCCCCCAATTTCCCCGAGAAAATGCCGAAAATCTCGTGATAATGGGGCTTTTCGCCAACACTCGAGCCTGTGCAACGCAGCTGCCATATTGCTAACCATACTCTTCCCTCTCTGTCTCCCTTTCTTCAAGAACAAGACGTAATTTTCCATTCACGGTGGCAGTTAAAAAGAAAAATAATTCCCTCAAATTCGTCATTTGCATTCTCTCTGTGCGTAAAAATTAATAGAATCAAGTCGAACAACGCACAATATCCGTTTGGTAATGCGAGTAGACCGGAGTGGCCTAACGGCAGTTGATGGCCACTCCAAAAATGGGTGCTCCAAGAGTTAACAAGATGAATCTGAATAATTCACGAAGAAAAGCCACCGTAAATGTTTATCCCTTCCTCAATTTTCTCTGCTCTACATTCGTTAAAGTGGCATTTGGAGGTCGACGGATGGTCAATCGGAAGACATCATTGAGGATAATTAATGCCACATTCCACCGGTGAACGTGCGATAGTATATTTTTACAACATTCCCCTGTCGTTACAATGCGAATAAAAAAGTTTACGGGTTTTCCGATGAAAAAACCCTGGGAACTCTCTATTCCGGCCACTGTTACACTCACCCATTGGATAAAGTAATCCACAGAGCCATTCAAATATCCCGTAATAAGCCCCCACGATAATTAAAGAAAAGCCCAGTAATTGAAATAAACATAATCATTATCCGCGATATGCAAACTCGTGGAGAATTCCCGATTACATCCTCCCCCGGGGGCATTGAGTACGACGTTATACATCGTGCCTCTAAGTATATCCAGTGGGAGTGTCTCTGGAATGTGGTCACACTGGCCTGGCCGTATGCTTCTCTTTACCATGTTCATCTCGCTAAATTCTTCTCAATCTTTTTCTCATTCCCTCCTTCAATGTACACTCGTTGTCGGTGGGATCGCATACACTCCGAGATTTTCTTCTCCCATAAAATCATGAAAACCCGGGTGTAACGTCGAGCCCACCATCAACATCTTGAATTCATGCGGCTATTGGAAAGTACCTCGACATGTGAAACTGAAATTAGTGGAATATTCAACCATCATGCGAGCAAACTTTTCTCAACTGCGAACGAGTTTGCTCACGACTTGAAAATATTTGTACACCCCTGGATTTTCAACAATCAAATCTTCCGTTGGTGATTTTTGAGGATTGCGAACGAGTATGCTCATGACTCCAAAATATAACACCCCCAGATTCTCGTAAACTAAAATCGCCCGCCAGTTTCAGCTTCACCCTCGACACTCCCAATTATCGTAAAATTAATGGTATCTCTGAAAAGTGGAGGGCGTTTTTCCCCAACGGGGGGACAATGGATTCACGAATAAAGCGTCATGTTCCCTGGAAAGACGAGAAGTTACGGTTGTTCCGCTCGATGTGGTCCCCTGCCAAGTCTATCTTTTTCCGCACCGTACGAATCTTACGTTGCATATGCCTTCCTATCCGTTCTTTTTAACTCCTCATGCCCATGTATACCGTACACCTATACATATATGTATCAGGAACACGTGGATACGTCATGGCTGTGGTCGCCAACGAGGAAGAAACGACCGACAGTACAAGAAAGAGACAAATCTCGAAGAAAAAAAAGGGGAAAAAGACGAGAGCAAAAACGGTGGAACGATACAAAAAAATAAAGGATGGATAGATAGGACTGTATGTATACATGCACGAGGTTTCGTAATAAATATATGCCGGGATAAAATAGCCAAGGGGGGAGAGGGTCGACCTTGCCCCGCAACTGGCTGACTGCTTGTTGCCAAGCTACATCGTATATATAGCGACCGGTACAAATGCATATACACACTGCGGTCCTCGGTAAAAGGAGAGGGGGGAGGGGCAATGTATCCTATGTGCAACAAACAACTGTGTAGGGGCGGTGTAAAGCATCAACAATGTTTATTACTTTGTGCAACAAAATAGGGGGAGAGAAGTTGAGGGAAAAAAATTTTCAGTTTCCAGCGGTTGCGATTCGCGGTTTTCCACTTGTGTCGATACCGTGTGTGTAAGTACGTTATATCGGATGGGGGTATTATTTCACTGTGGTGTTGGGTATAACGACTCTGCACGGAGAGAAATATTCAGTAAAAATGACGTATCTTTTCCGTGATTCCGAAGCGAAATGTGGTTGTGGGAAATTTTACGGAACTGTCACGGAATTTTTCCAGAGCGTTCCGTAATTTTTATATGAAACTCCTGAAAAATTACGATACCGCCAGTTGAATTTTCGGAGTCGATTCCGTAATCGGTGAGCGAATTGTGAGTTCCGTAATTTTTACTGAAAATTTTTTTCCGGTGCTGAGATTAGCCAACAGGGAGCGCTACTGCAGGAAATTTGGATGTATTAAATGTGCGAAATTGTACTGGGTGCATGAGATTGCGTAATGAGTTTTCGTGTGGGTGATTATGAGTGTGGAGTAGGAGTGGGGTGGAAGAGGAACAAAGAGGTGAGAAATATGAAGTACTGGCTCGTATCGTTTTGTTTTATGCTCTTTTCAGCGTGACACGGTTCTTCCGTTTCTGTTAATTGACAGAGACTGAACTTCGCGGGTACTTGACACCTCCTTGGACTCTTTTACCGACAATTAGGGTCTTGAGAATAATCAGCTTGGTGGTAATTGGGTAGTGGTTGGTGAGGGAAGATGGATCAGGAGAAAATGTCACGGTCTGGCGTGGGGTAATGATATCGGGGAGTCGAGAGAACGTGGCAAGTAGAATTTTCGAATGTTATTGGAGGTTTAATTGTTCTGATGATCAGCGAGTTGATTAATTTTGGCAGGGACAGTCTTGAAGAAACATGCCTTTCATTTATTAGGTCTGTCTCCTTCGATTAACTAAATGGAATATCGATAAGTTTGAAAAATAATAGAATTATTGGAGAACTGTTAGCTGAGATTTTCATTCAGAAAATACTAGGTTGCATACGAGAGGACAAGACGTAGAGGGATGACAAGATGTTTATCCACATCTTATTAAATCCTGAAGCACATCAATAACGAGCGATTCCAGAGGATACCTTCCCCTTGAAATTTATCCATCTAGAAAGAAATACTTTGACATTTTCCTCTGAGCCCACTTGTTTCCGAGATTAACAATTCATAAAAACGATGAATTGTAGACATTCTGCTTTATTTCACATTAAAAATGTCCCTATCGAAGAATCGTACAACTATCGCAGATTTTTGTTGATAAAGTTCAAGAGGAAAATTCTAGTTGCATAAGGGGGAATGGATCATAGAGAGATAACAACATGTTTATTCACATCTTATTAAATCTCGAAGTATAACGCGCATTTCCGGAGGATATCTTTCTCTTCAATTTTCTTCTGCAATCCCTTGTCGCTGATGTCATCAATAATTAAAAAAAAAGATGAATTGAACTGATTCCGGTTCTTACTCGGCATCTGAAAAGTCCCCATAAAAGAGTCGTAGAATAATTTCAAGCTATTGTTGATACCATCTACGATGAAAATTCTTGGTTGCATGCGAGGGGGCTGAAACAGAGCTCCGTGAAGAAGAAAATAGAGCTGACATGCGAGACACTAGATACTCTCTGACTGCAACAATAACAAACGAGGGAGGACACTGACGATGCGCTTCGTCGGACCACGGATAATGCGCCGCAGTGGACATGCCGAGGTGACCAAGATGATTCCCGTGGGGAGGCAGAGGGAGATTGCCTTGTTCCTTGTTATAATCTCAGCTGCCTCCGGGACTTTCAACAATTCCCTACGCGAAAAAGTCACACTTGGCTCGGTTTTCCGACATTTTCTTTCTCCATCCTAAAGGCACATCTGAGAATAATGCATTTGTCGCCCGACGCACTTGGAAATTGGATTGAGTTACACTCCGATTACTTTGAATAACATTGTACCGTTTAAATTATACGGAGCACGAATTTCTTGGAAAGTTCAGAATGTCTGGGGGAGTTTTTTTAATTGTGTCAATCTATTCTTCATTTCTCCATGAACATTACGAGAGTATTTATTGCCGGTGAAGGATGCATATGAATTCATATTGAATCGTATTTACATCTTGAGATGAATAAAGAATTGGATTCCATCGAGGCGAATGAAAAATAAAGTGCTTCCGAGTCGATACATTCACCCAATAAAAATTGCGTTTCACAGGATTTGCAGATAGCGTGTAAAAGGGCAAAGAGATGAGTAAAGGAGCTGAAGGAATATTTATTCAGCATTCCAGGGCGCGAAAAAAAATTCCTTGCTGAAGTTTTCTAGAATCAGTCAATCTATTGTTCATTTCCCCACAAAATCACAAAAGAATTTATTGACAATTCCGGAATGAATAAAAAATTGATTTATTTGTCGAGACAAATTGCAATGCGTTTGCAAAAATCCAGTTGCCCCCGATTTTTTTAATTCTACAAATCTATTCTTTATTTCTCCACAAAAATCACAATCGAATTTATTTCCAATTCCGAATGAATATTACAGCAGTATTCAAATTCCGAAATGAATAAAGAATTGAATTTTATCCAGACGAATGTTGCAGTTCGTTCGCTCAAAAAATCCCCGTTCCCCCTAAATTTGCAGTTGTTAAAATGCATCAGCGTCGATACATCCACTGCATGAAAATCGAGCTCCATAGGATTTGCAGATAGACTATAAAAAAAGAATGAGTGAAGGGGCTGGATTAATATTTATTCAGCACTCTAGGGCGCGAAAAAAAAACCTCGTAAAAGGGGTGAGAGATAGGACGAGGACGGCGCCAAGGTAAACGGCGCGGGTGCGAGTAAAGCACGTCGATGGTCTCTCCCCAGCCTCTCCTATTTCACCATACCCATATACATTTTTTCCTATAAAACTGTTGGAGAAAGGGAGCCCGTGAGAGAGTGAAAAAACCCCCCGAGAAGGTAGATAGAATGGTAACCGAGGTAGAAGGGCAGACGCGCGCCAGAGGGAACAGCGCGCTGCCGGTGTGCTCGTTGACTAGACCTGACCGTCGCACCATTCTCGTCGCTCCTATGTACCTTTCTTGTATATACAGATATCCATATATATGTAACTGGCAGATCAATAATTTCCGATACTGGTGGTGAGCCTCTCGGAGGCAATGTCGCGACGCCCTGACGACGCTTTCGACCCTCTGCAACTCCCCATGAGGATAAAAACCCATTTTCAATCTGAATGAACGGCTCGAGAGGGCATAAAACTTTGAGTTTCTGCTCAAAGACTGAAATGCAAACACGTAAATACCACAAATTAATTATCCACCGGTAATTAGCGTCAATTAATTCAGCGTTTGCAGCTCGGATGCAAAACTTTTGAAGGTCAATGCGTAGTCAGATCGATGGAATCGATGGAGCCCCGGCTAAGCACATTTCCTTCAGCATTAATGGTATAACAAGGGAGAAGTGTGGGATATTCACACAGTCTGTCTCTGTCACTCCGCGGCGAGAGGAGAATTCAGCCGGTGGAAGAGATACCAAAGGGGATTCTGGGTTTCCCCCCGAGTGTATGTGTTACCGTGGTGGAGGGGTAGCTGCGATTTTGCGATCCCTTGACAAGACACAAGACAACGGGGAGAGGTGAGGAGAGAGCGAGGGTGAGAGAGAGGAAAAAAGAGAGAGTCATGGTGTGTGCGCGTGAGCGTAAACTCGGCAGGAACGATTTAGGCAGTGGTAAAAGAGGGGAAAAGAGAGAAAAAGGAGAAAAAAGTATCGGGTGCGAGGGAGAGGAGAGGAGAGGGCAAATGGAAATGTACAAAAGAGAAACATAAAGAGAGGGAAGGAAGTCTACGGAGTGGATTCGGCCTGAGGGAGATGGCTGGTGGTTGTCGATAGGGAGGACGGGGTGAGGGGAATGGAGAAACGACTAGTGGCAAAGACGATTGGTTGACACAGGGGAGAGCCACCGACAGCGCCGCGGTGGTCGGCAATGGCGACCGCGTTTTCTCGTTCGTGAATGGAGCACGTCCAATATTGAAACGTGAACGTGGCCTCGCGCGTGCACCAAAAGTAATAGCTACCCCCTCCCCCTCCCGCCGGCCCCTCTGCCGGCCGCTTTTCCTCCACCGCTGCGCTCGGGCAACTTCTCCCCCCACCACAGGACACAAGATACGAAGTGTAGTTCGAGTGTATACGATAGGGAGACGGTACGCTCGTGAGAATAACCAACTACACTAGCGCGAGTACGAGGTTTTCGGTATTCCGCGCTAGCCAAATAGCTCCGTGCGGACTGTGCTCTTTCTTTGGGGCCGTAAGCGTAAGTTATTTTGTTGGAAAAAACAGAAATGTTTTTTTTTTATCATTGAAATTGACGGATTGGTTTTTCTCGGGGAGGAGGGATGAACAGTGTTTTGTATGGGAATATTGCATCGTCGTTGGATTATTTAGAGCTGAGGGGATTTATTTGTAGAAGTGAGTTCATACTTTGCAGTGGTGTTTTGTGATACCAGTGCTTGTGCGTGAAACGAATATCATCTCAATATCCCCCGTTGGATCGGAGTTTATTGTTATTTTTCCTCCATCACCACGATTTTTTTTTGTATTTTCAAGCAATTTTTATCATCAATCTACGGTTTATTATTCGTGCCTCGGGTGTCGTCTTCACATGCCACGCAGGCATTTACGACGTTTTGATATTGTGATATAATCGCTGATGGGTGTCATTGTTGAACTCTTCTGCGTAGCGAGGTGCTCGAGATGGGATTTCAAGGTTTTACTTTTTTTTTAAATTTTTTTTCGCGAAGGGGAGAGCAGTTCTGTACCTTCTTTTGCGTCTCGTTTGGAATCCCTGGCTGACCTTTCGAAAATACGATGACTACGGGGCCGCACTGTGTGTTAGACCGTGCACCGAGAGTAGAGGGGATTCAGGGGGGNGGGGGGGGGGGGGGGGGGAGAGGAACTGAGAGTAGAGTATAGTAAAGTTCTGCGAGGAATTTGTTTTCACTGTTGTAATGGGTGCATGGGTCTCTGTGCGCTGGAAAATGTAAAGTGGGATGCGATCTACCGTTGTTCAACTCACTCCCCTTTATTTTCTCTCCCTCATTTCAAGTCTTCCTCATTTTGTCCCTCTCTATCACTCTCCGTCTCCCTCCCATTTTTCCGTCTGCCGGTAATTTGTGATTTTATGGGATGAAAAGAATTGAATCAAGTGCTCCGACGCCTTGAAAACTCCCCAGTTTTCTTTACTCCTTATTTTCACGAATCGATACTCAGGGATTTTCATGGTATGCCTGTGTGCGAACAAGGTTTCCATCATCTTTATTTCCCATGTAATTTTTTTTCCATCGTTTCTCTTATTGCTGCCACCGTCGATTATCTCGAATGATTGTCTGGGATATGGGTGTTTGTACGAGGTTTAATTTGTCTCCAGCACAAGCGTGGAAACAGTGTCAAGCTCTTTACTCCTGCGTTTAACAAATGATCGGGCCGTTTTTTTTTTCACGGTTCGTCGCGCAGAAGTGCCAATACAACTCCGATGGCAATCTTATCTCGGACCGAAAAAAAAGAATTATTTAAGCCTTTCCCTAACGCTTTAGTCACCTGGTGGAGGTGAAAGAGGGGCATTTTGTCGCGTAGAACGAGGTTTTTCTTTGCCAAGTGACCCGGGTCATTATCCACGATTTCTACGGTTCTCTAATTCATTTGTAAACAGATGCTGAGTGGCTGGATGGTTTCATGAGAATGAAGATGAAACTAGCGGAATATTCGACAGCGTAAAATGACTTTCAGGGGATTTTTGAGGGTTTACAATCATGTGAGCAAACTTTCCAAGTGCGAACGATTTTGTTGATGACTCGAGAATATTTGTACACCTCTAGATTTTCCTGAATCGAATCTTCCATTGACGAATTTTTCTCCGGTTGCAGCTTCACTTCATGACAATGAAGTTGAAAAGACCAGAAACTTTAATTTAGGGGACATTTGAGGATTTAAGGGGTAACAGAATGCCGCTGATCTTCCAATTTTTTAAACAAATTTCCTGTTGAAAGTTATCGATATTTTTACAAATCCAAGCACATTGATCTCTACGAAGCGATAATGGAGATCAATGTGCTTTGAGTTAAAAAAATATTAATAACTTTAAGCAGGAAATTTGTTTGAAAATTTCGAGGAAACGGTAGCCTTCTGTTAGTGTGAATGATTGCTCATGACTCAATTCAGTAGTGAAGCGGTAAACCGAGTTAAGTCGATTTTGACTATTAGCCAGTTTTTGCTGAATATCTCGGAATCTAAGAGAGATAGCAAAATTTTTCTCATGACTTTTTTTATAACGCTCTATTGGCTCTACAAAAAAGGTCATGACAAAAATCTTTCTATCTCTTTTAGATTCCGAGATATTCGTCAAAAACTAGGCAATAGTAAAAAACGACTTAACCCGGTTTACCGCTTCGCTACTGAATTATATTTGCACACCCCTACATTTGCCTAAATCGAATTCTCCACCGGCGAAATTTTTGCTAATCTCAATTTCATTTAATGAGTGATTTTCATTGGTTGCAGATCCCTATTGGCATGGAGCTGGGAGCGCACTGATAGTGATAGTCTATGAGATCTTGGTTTCTATGCATTGCCTGCCAAAGAAGAACTGAGCCCAATGTTTCCACACAATTCTAGTTCACATGAGATTTCTACCGAAACAAATGCCTTCGTACAAAATTCCAAGGTGAGTGGATAACGCTAAAATCGTTGGAGCAGTCCAGTGATGCAACAAAGTGCAATGGAATCTAATCATAGCCAACGGTCTTCAGCGCTTTTTTTTATTGTTCTTTATTTGTTACAGGGGGATGTAGTAGTATTAGAGGAAAGCAGTCTGAGTGGGGCGCGGGAAGGGGAACGACCAGAGCATGCTAGGTACTGTGATATCGAATTCATAAACAGCAGCATGATGGCAGCACCTACCAGCCACCCCAAAGCTACCGCCGCCAATGACTTCTTAACCGTCCTGCCACGCCAATCTGGTGAGTTGATTTTTTTACAAACAAACAGAGATTTGAGGCAGATGATGAGACGTACGAGGGGCTGAAATTATCATGCGGTGGTCAGTTTCACTCGGATTATGAAGGTCTGCATTTTCTAACAGAGTAGCTATTGTCGATGATATGCGTTCACAAAACCGGAGATTGTTTCGCGAACATCTTCGAGAGGATTAGATTGATCTAAACTTAAATTACATCGAATCTGTGAATTTTAGTTAATTATAACAATTTCGGTGCCACTATAGCACGATAAAAATTTCCAATAGTGCAAAAATTGATAAGAATGCGCGAAAAAATATCGGATGAGGATGAAGGATGATTTTAAGAAGTTGGAATGGGGTAATGTTGCAGGTGAGCTCAGCTTTGCCGATGGAGGTGAGGCCTGCCAGTCAGTGGCACCAGAAACCACAAAAAATCCAACAAATCACCTTCTAACCTACGATAATAATGATAAAATAAATAACCACAACAATGCAGAACATAATCATCACAAGTACAGAAAGCAAAATACACCGGGCTCGCTTGGTAAACTGGGCAGCTCAGCCGATAACTCTAAGTCTACGTGTAAGCCGTTAAGTGATAATAAGGATAGCTTTAGCGTTATAAGCATTAGGGTACTAATGTTAAGTGTACGTTTAAATGATACGATAGGCGTTGATTGTTGTACCGCTGGGGTACCTAGCCTAGTTAGGATACCCAAGTCTGATTGCCCCCAGCGGCAGCTTTATCGCGCCAACCTTGTCGACAATTACTCCTTACTAGGGTCCCGCCTTCACCACGGCGAAAACAATAACGTTAAGGCTAATATTAGGATGATAAGTAATAATAACTCAAAGTCTGTGATATTGCTCAGCTCAAAAAGTTACGGTGACTATTACAATCTAGATGTTACTGGCGATGGATTCGTTGGTATTAATGCTGTTGGAATCCCGGTTATTTTAGTTGATAATGATACGATTAACGGTAACCGATTGAATCGTGTTAATGCAATTGGTGAAATATCATCAGTAGTTACCAGTAATATGATTGGTGGAATTAACGCTATTGGCCTTTACAATCCAACAATCGTCAATCTAACGTCTAATGTCCAGCATTACAATCAGAGTATTTGTAATATGATGAACGATGCTTCCCAATTATCACACGATTTCAATGACAACAGGGATAAATCGGTACTGTTGTATCGTGCTCACAAATTAACGGCTATGAATAATGCCAGTTCTTCCATTACGCTTATCGTTTCCAAAAACGAATTCACCGACCACATTATTGATAATTTACAATTTCTCATTGATGATGATAATCTCACTCAAGTCCGAGCATTGTCTCCTGTTACTTCTCAATATTATCAACAATTACTGTCGCACGTCACCGTTAACAAGCTGACGCAACGCATATGTGTTCCATTATTGATTAAGAGTAAGGGTTACGATAAAAACAACAACGTTGCTAATAATAGTGATTATTGTAACATTATTGATGATACTGAAGGGTCTGATGAAATGATATTTCGTCGTGTTAATCACAATGTTTATTATGATGAATACGATGATACAAAAACTACGATGAATATTAATGGTAACAATAATCCAGATGTTATCGATGACATTGTTAACGTCGCTGTGTGCTACAAGACTAGTTGTGTAATGACTACTAATGTTAGTATGTTAGGGTCTCAAAATGATGGTATTAGCGGTACCGAAGCAACAATATTTACTGTTGGTGCTCTTTCATTTCAGGATAACGATAAGTCTAACAAGCCTCTAAATGATAGTTGTAATAATAAGTATCAAGTGTCTACTAAGATTGGTCTTGAATCTAACTTTAACGTTAAGTCCGTATCTAAGTCTACGCCGTGCGTTAAGTATAGCGATAAGTCTGAAACGTCTCATCAAGCTCGACTTGACGTGTCTGATGAACAGCGAGTTAAACGTGTCAGATCACCTGTCAACATTCCTACACTTACTACCTGCGAGCCTACGATGACGCTTAAAAGCCAATCAGCCACCGTCACATCCCAAACTGAAACAGTACCTGTTACATCTCGTGTCGTTATCGAGAAAATATCCAAGAGCCTGAGCCCAACAATATCCACCACTCAATCTCAATCAATCACCTCCTCAAACTATTCCAACATTGAGATCAACTCGGCGATTTATAACGAACAAGTGAATGAATATATCAACGAACGTGACAATGCTGCTGATGCAAGGCCATTTACTCGTAATTGGGCAAGACTGATCGCATACGTTCGTGCTCTCATTCCTGCTTGTCATGAGGCGTACAAAAACAACGAGAGCAAGTGCGAAAGCCAACGTAATGAGCTCAAGAAGGCCCTGCACAGTCTATTCGGTGACAGTACGACTAAACATACTCAGAGTCATCCCATAATTGACTACAAAAAACGCTGGGGTATACCGACTATTCTGTCCCTCGCTGGTGGTGGTGAGAGTTCACTCAACACCGGTGGTGGTACTAATTGGGGCTCAGCTCAAGCAACAACACCAAATAACAATAATCCCAATTCATCGGGCTGGGGTGGTACGCCTGGTAATGCCCCACCACCGTCATCAAACTGGGGTACAACCAATGTTAATCGTCCAGTGACTGGTAATCCAAATCAAAATCAGAATCAAGGACCACCGGGAAATCAAACAAACTCATCAGCTGTGAATAAAACTAACAATCCAAATGTAGCATCCAACTCGCAGACTGGACCGCCAACATCTCAGCCAGCCAATCCAACTCAACAAAATCCAAATGGCCCTTGGCCCCAGGGAAAACCCAACCCCTCAGTAGGACCAGGATCTAATCAACCAGCTTCTAATAACAACGGAAACAACGTCCAGCAGCCACCGTCATCGGGTGGCCCACCGGGTGCCAATGGCAATAACAATCAGGCAAATTCCCCACAGAGCAGTGCTGCATCGACAAACAGCAGCAGTGGCACAACCCCACCAACCTTGCCTCCGAATTCATCAACGAAACTACAATTGGAGCAACTCAATACCATGAGAGAAGCTCTTTTCAGTCAGGACGGCTGGGGTTGCCAGCATGTAAATCAAGACACCAATTGGGACGTGCCTGCATCGCCAGAGCCAATCATGAATAAAGACGGTGTTCCCATGTGGAAGCCACCTGTGAACAATGGTACTGATCTGTGGGAAGCCAATCTGCGCAATGGAGGCCAGCCGCCACCACCGCAACAGGCCAAAACACCTTGGGGTCACACGCCATCCACAAATATCGGTGGTACATGGGGGGAGGACGACGAGGCAGCTGATTCCTCAAACATGTGGACAGGTGCACCAACACCGACTCAACCCAACACTCCTCAGTGGGCAGGTGCCACTGGCAATCAGACGGGATCGAGCTGGGGAGATCCAAGGATTGATCCTCGTGATCCCCGAGACATCAGATCAGTTGATCCACGAGAAATGCGTGACCCACGCGATCACCGCATGTCAATGGATCCCAGGGAGCACTTACGCCCCATGGACCCCATGGCACGCGATCCCAGAATGGCGGATATGCGTGGAGACATTCGTGGTGGGGTTTCCGGACGTTTGAATGGGGCAAGTGCTGATGCAATGTGGGGACAGCCACCGGGACCACCGCATCATCAGATGGGTCATCAGCATCCTTCGGGACCACCTACCAAGATGATCAATCCATCGAGTATGAATCAGTGGGCAGCACCACCACCCAAGGAGATGATGCCTGGCAAGCCCTCAGGGTGGGAGGAGCCCTCACCACCCGCTCAGCGCAGAAATGTACCCAATTACGACGATGGCACGAGCCTCTGGGGGAATCCAGCTGCTAATCAGCGCCCAATGACTGGCAGCAAAGTGTCCCACTGGAAGGATCTCCCTTCTCAGAATTTGGGAAGGGGAGGAATGCAGTGCCCGCCTGGAATGCCGCAGAATCGCATGCCTGGTCAGCCGATGAAACCCGACGTTGGGGGACCCATGTGGGGACATCCAGGGGCACCTGGCGGCCGCAATGGCTCGTGGGGTGAGGCACCGCACGAGACTACCAACTGGGATGAGCCTAAAACTCCAGCCTCGTGGAACGAACCACCAATCAATCCTGCTTCCTGGGGTGGACCCAGTGGCCACAAGCCTAAGGCCATGGGACCTTCGGGGAGCTGGGGGGAGACTGACATGGAGCCACCCAGTTGGGGACATCCTAGCAAACCAGCACTCACCAAGGAAGTCATTTGGAACAGCAGGGAGTTCCGTTATCTGTGCGATTTGGGATACAAGGTAATTAAAATGACTTCTGTTTGGAGAAATCTGTGTTAACGAATTTTTCATTCAATTTTTGTCAACTGCATTGTGTTATCTCTTTCGAAAAATACAGAAGGAAGATGTAGAAACAGCCCTGAGAAAACGCGAAATGAATCGCGACGAGGCCCAGGAGCTCCTGCAAATACGTTCACTGGACTGGCGTCGGCATGATGCACCCTCCGGTTACGATCCAACCAATCCATCACCCATGTCCGGTGCATATCCAAAATTCAGTCACGTAGCCCAGCAAATGTCTTTCCCACAGGTAAGGTAATCCATTAAATCTGCATGTACTTGAACATATTTCCCATGTGTACACTTTTACCGGAGAGATTTCAAGAGTTAAGCATTGATCCCTGGGTACGGTGGAAACTTTGATTTTGAGTGGATAACGCTGAATAACAAGAGAGACAAAAATGGTTGTGTGTCATTGGAGAGTTTAGGTGTTTCCTTTGTACCTCTATTAAAGCCAAAATTTCTTGCATTTGAGAGAACAGTAACTAGTTTGCTAGCGTAAGACAATTGTCATTGGGTTGGTGCTCTTCTGGTGAAGGTGGTTAACAGGTAATCAGATGCACTAGCGAATACAGCCAGTTATTATGGTAGTTAACTTTTTGAGGTGAATTTTTTTACGATTTCTACTTTTGGAGAGTCTTTTCCCTCTTGAAAAATCTGGTCAGTGAGTCTTTCTGGAGTGGGGGAAGTGCCTAATGTGGAACATTGGAGGTATACAATAAGCTCATCGACTGAACGAAGAGAAAATAATGCATTCAATGGAATTTTATGATGCAGGAGGGAAAGGCTTATCAAATGACAAATTTCAGAAAACACTAGTAGAAATGTCAATTTAAACTGAAGTTCTGGCATTTTAATCTCAATTTCATGTAAAAAATGTAAACATCACTTTATTGCATCAGAAATCAATGGAAAAAAAATCAAACATCACTAACCGATCGTCGAAATGGATATTTTTATGAAAATCATGACCAAATCAGAACATTCCCTATTAACACTTCAATGCCAATGGCCATACCGATGTTCCAAATTACCGCAGTTCCTCCATAAACCCCTAAACTTTAAAATACCTTGATCTTCCCCTTTGACTCCTGGTTGTATTCGCTCGCAATCCTGACAATTTCGAGAATGAAGATCTGAAAAAAAAAATGAGAAATGGAAGGCGGCTAGGTAAGGTAGTTGGGGTACAAGGGTGTTATGTAACGCAGGGCGAGTGCCTGGGTGTGCGGCCTAGCGGGGCAGCGACTGGCAGCGTAAGTGGTTCGGTGGCCAGCGCCAGCCTCTTGAAGCTCCAGCAGCAGCAACAGCAACAGGCAGCAGTGCAAATGCAACCACCACAACAGCCAAACGCCAATCCTCCGCAGCCGCCCTTTAACCAGGTGACAATACCTGACGAACGGCACACGCATATGCGCACAAATTGTCCCAACGTTATATATATATTTTTTTTTTCCAAAATTTCTTTGCTCTCCTCTCTCCCGCTTGGATCGCATTTACGCCGAAAAAAGTATTATTCATTCCTCCATTGGCTTTCGTATGGTTTTTTACCTGTGCGTTTGTTTTATCCTGATTTATTTCCCGTTCGTTATCGTTCGTTTGCATGACAATTATGCTTCGTCTACTCTGTTAAATTCTACTCATGCAGCATGGGCAAGAGAAAATATTTTTAAATAATTGGGGTACCAACAGTTGAAGTACCGTAAGTAAATCCGTTAAGAGAAAGTTATTCGCATTAATGCGGATGCCGTAGTCAAAGTCTGCGCTTCAAATTTAGCACATTCCAATGTTCATTATAATAGCACAAATGAAATTCGCAGTCGACAGTTAAAATCGAGAATTCAGGTAGGGTGAACCGGCTGGTGTTCGAACAAATAAGCTCAGAAGTAGAAGATTACCGGACATCATTGAGAATTAACTTCACATCCCATAGCTCATAAAAAAATAACGAAAATGATTTTGGATATCACTGTCTATTTATTTATTTTCTGAAAAAAATGCCAAATCGGTTGGATTAACGGAAAACTTCGAACACTGGTCAGTTGCCCCTAGTTCACCGTTAAGAGTAGATAATAATTAAATAAATAAATTCTGTTCAGGCATCGAGAACACCCCAGAATCCCCCGAGCACGCAGCAACTACGAATGCTCGTCCAGCAGATTCAACTGGCCGTCCAGGAGGGCTATCTTAACCAGCAGATATTGAATCAACCCCTGGCCCCACCCACCCTGATTCTCCTGAATCAATTGCTCCAACAAATCAAAGTTCTCCAGCAACTACTCCAGCAGCACTCGGTCCAGAGTTCACTGAAAGGCAACAGCCAGACTGTTCTACAAATAAGTGTTCAGATAACAAAGACGAAGCAACAAATTGCCAATCTTCAGAATCAAATAGCTGTACAACAGGCAACGTACATGAAACAACAGGCACAACAGCAACAGCAGCATCCTATACCTTCCCAATCGTCCGATTATTACAAGACCTCTGTGCATGATCCAATGTCAGCTATTCAGAACAGTTTTAGCGATTTGACGATGAACAAGGAGCCACCAGTCAGCCAGCAACAATCGAGATTGAATCAGTGGAAGCTTCCCTCGCTCGACAAAGACGTTGACATAACTGGAAATGAATTTTCACGTGCACCAGGAACAACGAGCAAGCCACCACAGACCCCAGGTGGTTTGACTCACACTCACAGCAGTCCAAATATGAATCCACTGCTGGGACAGGCAGATGGCACATGGTCAACGAGACTCGGTGACAGTGGTTGGCCAGATGCTGGTAACAGTGACGCAACTGATGGAAAGGATTGGCAGCCAGGCAGTGCTGCATTCACTGATCTAGTCCCAGAATTCGAGCCTGGCAAACCATGGAAGGTAATCACACCCCAGTTTACTCGATGAATTATCTCGTCGACTAATATTTTTTTAAAGTTATTCTCACGCTAGTCTGTGCACTTCGAGGTGTATGGTTCGTGGGACTGTGTCAGTAGTTGTCTATATTTGGTCTTTTTAGGGCACTCAGATGAAGAATATCGAGGACGATCCCAGTATTACTCCAGGCTCTGTAGTGAGATCATTGTCACTAGCTGCCATCAAGGATCCTGATACCATATTCTCGTCGAGCTCCAAGACATCACCACCACCTCAGGCGCAAAATGTTGATACTTCAATTCCTAGTCTGAGTAACTCTACGTGGAGTTTCAATCCACCTGCAACTACACCCAGCGCATTCTCAAGGTAATTTTTGATAAGATTTCAAGGGCTGTTGGAGAAAATTAAAATATTTAACAAATTTTATTTTTGAAAAATTTGGAAGAAATCTTTTGAGTATTTAACAACTGTGGCTCTTTGCAGCTCTAAAAATACCTGGACAGACTCAGCACCACCCCCAACAGCAGTGACATCAGAACTCTGGGGTGCTCCAATGAACAAAGCTCGTCAGGGTCCACCACCTGGTCTCAGCAGCAAAGGTGTAGGCGGCAATACCAGTAATGGCTGGGCTGGACTGGGTGGAGTTAGTCGGTCTTCCAGTTCATGGGGCATCCAATCCGCTGGTGGAGGCGCCGGTGGTGGTGGAGGTGGCAGCAATGCCGGATGGCTTGTTGGTGGAACTTGGCTATTGCTCAAGAATTTGACACCCCAAATCGATGGCTCGACGTTGAAAACACTGTGTATGCAACACGGGCCTGTTCAAGATTTTCGTCTGTACCTGAATCATGGAATTGCCCTCACTAAATACTCCTCACGGGATGAGTCTAGCAAGGTCAGTACAAATTCAAATCCGAGGGGATTTTTCTTCTTGATGGCATTGAATTTTTATTCTGACAAAATAATTGAGTCATTAATAATTGCCATTTGATGTTAAAATGCATCAGTTTTAATTGAAATATGTTGTAATTAATTTAATTGAAATATTTCGTGTTTATGTTTGCAGGCTCAAGGAGCCCTGAATAATTGTGTCCTCGGTAACACGACAATATTCGCCGAGTCTCCAGCAGACAGCGAGGTGCACACCCTCCTCCAGCAGCTGAGTCACGGTGGCCAACAGCAGACCGGCAGCTCCGGTGGCACTGGCTGGGGTCTCCGGCCCTCCAACAAGGCAGGACCACCACCCGACACCTGGGGCGGCAGTTCCAGTCAACTCTGGGGCGCTCCACCCACCACAAACTCCCTCTGGAGCAACACTGGAATTGACAGCGGTGAAGCACAAAGGACAACACCAAGCTCCCTCAACTCGTACTTACCCGGAGATCTTCTGGGAGGTGAGTCGATGTAGAGAGGAAAAACGGGGCATCGAGTCCAACGGCCCATCACGTATAGCCAATGTTGATTGGCTCTTGACGAAAAAACCATCAGCGTCAATAATCAATCTTCATCGATCGTTAGAAAAATAATGAAACTAAAGTTCGAGCTCGTCAACGCCAGCAACTTGTTTCGTCCTAATTTATCTTCCTGATTTTATTTAGCCTTCGTAATAGAGACGACAAAATAATACAATAAACTGAGTAAATAATCGCCTACTTATCGAAATCACCTAGGTATTTCAATGAAAATGAAAAAATAAAAATGGCAGCGCGACATCCGAGCACACATTGACGCTAGAAGTTGAATGATTATAAATGTCGATTGAGTCTTCTCGAAAATGTCAATTAACGTTAATGATAATAATGATTATCGGAACGAGTTACTTAACAAAAAGACAAACAAAAAATTAATTTATAAATTTAACAAAGAAACAAACAAAAATTCTCGTGTCCGTATGGTCACAAAGAATGGAAGAACAGCCAAACGATCTTACTGCGATAAACCAACAAATGATAAAAAAAAAAACAAAGCAACACTAAATTAAACTGAGAGACATAATGTTTCAAGTAAAGATACGAAAAATAAAGTTTAATAATTTGATAAATCCGATCGGTTATCTCGGAGACCATCGAATCGGGTTCAAGTGCGCATGAACGTCAACCCACCCTCCCCCCTTACCCCCCAACTCCAATGAAAGCTCTCTGTCACACCTCAAACACAGATAATTGTGCGTTGAGCTAGGATTTTTATCAACAAAGGTTTTGACGCTGAATTACGGAATTATGATGAAAGATAAGGGAATAAAACGAGCAAAAACCACTTCATTACCTCAATTCTTGTAACTCTTACGCACAATCATGTGAATGTGTTACACGACGATAATTTTCAAAACGAAGTAAGAGAACAATTATTTCAGTAAAAAATTTAAAAACTTGTATTTCAACTCAAATTCCGTAATTCACTCTGAATCGATGCAGAATAAGAGCGAAACAAATACACAAATAATTTAAAAAAAAAAAAGTAAAGTAAACCCAAGGCCAAAGGTCTCTGATCGTGTCGGGGAGTGTTCCATTTTTTGCTGGACAGTTTGAAGACTGCAGCGAGTATCAAACTTAGACTGTACCAATCTAATCAAAAGAATGAAATCTTAAAAAAAGTAATGAAAAAATAAAAAATAAAGCATTGACGTCGCTGCCCGCCGTCCTGTCGAGGGTTAAGTGGGAAAATATGTAGAACGAATATCGCAAAATACTGAAAATCAAGGAAAAAAAAACAAAAAAATACGGGCTGGCCGGGCAACGACACAACGATACCAAATGTTATCGCAATAACGTAAATTTTATTCTATATTAAATCTAAATGCCACCTGTCGTGCCAATGTCCAGTGTGTCTCTGTACCATTTATTAATGTAGAGTTTAAAAAAACGATTGATGAGGCGAAAAAAAACGAGAAAACGAAAAAAAAAACAAAACTTATTATAAATAGTATAATTAATAATTAAATAAAGATATCGCGTGAGGGAGATGAGAAGAGGAAAAAACAAAATCACATTTTAATTCGAGTCAAGTCGTGGTGGCATTAAGTACTGGCCGGTATTAGCGTTATGCCTCCTTGTGATAACGAATAACTGCGGGGAACGGACGGGGATGGGCCAATTTTCACTGCAACTGTCTCGTTAACGACCGTTTTCTCGTGAACAAAATGAAAAGAAAGAAATTTTTAATTAAACGAAAAAAAAAGTGAAAAAAAACGTTGTTTAAAGTTTAAAAGAGACAAATTGAAGATGAATGAAAAAGAAAACTCGTGAGGGCTATGAGACGACCGAGGAAGAGTCGTTAGCATGAACAAGTTTTTTTTTCCAACGTCGAAGGTACCTGATGGACTGAGAACCAAACGACGACCGAGCAAAAAGAAAAAAAAATGGATAGTACCCTTTTTTTCCATTTCACTGCGAGCTTTTTCCTTTAATGATCGACAATGGGAAGCGACCGGCACCGCGTAGCGCAATAATCCAGGATGATTGATTATGAAGATTAAAAACGTGAAGATAAATGCAACGTTAAACCCAACAATCAACATTAACCGAGAGGAGGTAAATAAAATAACATATAAAAACGGGAGAAACAATCTTGACGGGAGAATGGGAATTTGCGCGAATAAATTAACGGGCCACGGACATTACGAGAGTGAATAAACATCGCGCTATTATACATTTTTGAGAGTGACCCACTGAGCTAGGAGAGAAACTTCATAAGTATAAAGTTAACTGTAAACCTCGGAATATCTATAAGCGAATTTTAATGTTTAAGAATTGAGAGATAGAAACATTCATGATAATAGCAAGTTGTAAGATGTCTGGAGAATAGAGTGACTGGGGGAGAAAGATTATATGATGTGGGAGGGTTTTTTTTTTTGGGGGGGGGGATGATGACAACACGAAAACACGCTTATCTAACAATACAACGTCGACGTAAAGGTTTCTTTATATACATATGTAAATTTATAATGGGAAACACATTGCACACGAATTCGCGAGAATGGAGAATAAAATAATCATGTTTTACTTAATTGATAGGTCGAGTGCATGATTGTGTGAAGAATTAAAAACACGAGCGTACTAATTCCTTGGGCCCCATCGATACGTAATAATCATTATTTAACTGCAATTATCTTGTTTTCAATTTTTCCCATTTTGTTGAAATGATGGAGGTGAGAATATTTCAATGTTAATGCCCTGGTATTCAACGGACGTAGACTTAAGGATTTATCGAAGGGATAAGTGTTTTAACCGGTATTTAAGGTATGATACATATAGTTGCCCGGTCGAAGCGCGATAAATTGACGGGTAAAAATTTTATTATCGAATTATATCGGGATTAGGAACTACTGAAGGACGAAAAATAACGACTCTGAATTTATTAGTCAGAATTGTTCCTCGTACTTGGCATTTAACTTCGGGCTGTCGTGAATTTTTAATCACCAATTCATTTTTTTTTCTTATTTAATTTATCGGCTATCGGTTTAATAATGCGGGAGATAATTATTGTGTTCGTAAAGGGAAAATTTCCGGGTTGAAGAGATTAATGTTTGTAAATCGAATCATTTGAATAGGTCACTGATAAATTCAACGAGAAAGAGAGAGAACGAGGAACAGAAAGAGAGATAATTAATGTTAAAAACCCGGATTGAAATGAAAAAAAAAAATATTTCGTTTTTCCAAGTATTCCGCCATTACGTGGGGATTTAAACGTGTGGCTAATGTAATATTATATCGAACCGAATCAAAGAAATGACGAAGTTTGAGTGAACTCTTTCTCAGAGCCGTAGAAAGATAATTTCTTGTGATAATAATATTGAATTTAGATTTAAAAAACACTTAGGGTCTCTTTTTGTGAATCAATCTTGCGGACATTTCAAGTGAGGGGATGCTATAGGGGTGTCATAATTAGAGTAGAGGAGCTACGGGGGAGACGAGGGTGGAGGGTAAAAGTCGTCTTTGTATATCACCCCGGGGGAGTAACGGCGCATAAGTGGAATTAAAAAAAAAACAGAAAAAAAGAAAAAAAAAACTACAATAATCTAGGTGTAACTTATTGCGTTCTGGCGCGCACGCAGTCCCCCCTTGATAGATACACACATAATATAATGAATAAATACATAGAGTATAATTTTAGTACCAGTAGGGAGAAAGATAATTCACGATTTTCAATAATATATATGTAAATATATATATTTATGAAGAGCTGTTAGCCTACCGTACATTACATATTGTTTAAACCGATTATCGATTTTCCGGGGGGAGAGAATAATGGGAGTGGTTTATCGGCGAATGACCAGTTACGTGGCCCACAAAGTTTTAAATTAATCTCCCAAAAATTTCAATGCAAAATAATTGAGGAAAAGAAAAACGAATCCGAAGACTCAACTCGTTGGAGCAAACGATCACATCATCATCGCTCTTTCTCCCTCGATAATAATCCCCGTTCATTAAAGAAAGTTGAAACGATAATAATGATAATTGAAGTGCATCGAATTCATCGCACAACCTTTATTGCTCGTCCATTAATCTTTAAGAATCAATGTCTTTCCTGTTGTCAATGTTCGCTTGCTCTCTCTCACTTTCTCTCTTTCCCTCCTCTATCTCTCTCTTTCGCACATTTACCTCGATTTTATTTTTGCTCCTAGTATTACAGCACTGAGCTTCTTATGTATTTTTCAAAAGTTAAAAATAAATAACGTGCCTGTCCCCCCCTCCTGTGGAGCCGCAAAAACAAATTCTCAACAACGATGCGGATACAATCATGACAAAAAGATATTTTAATGTTAGAGAACGTTTGTTCATTTTTATTCTGATGATAACGTTCGTTATTAATCTGGAGAAAGAGCGATTTACGATCACTCATACTCCTGACGAGTCTCTCATTTTCCATCTCGATACCAAAAAGAAAATAGAATTGTTGAGTGAATTTTTATTCTCATTGCAGTTGAATCTTGAGGCCCATCGCGAGAATCACGACAGCGAGACAATTACAATCTCTAAAAATAAATTAATAATGATAATGTAAAGCGATTAAACTCTCGAGGGCCTCGGTCGTGTCGGACGGGTTCTACGTTTTATTTATTTTTTTCTTGAAATAATCCCGACGAAGCAGAACGTTTATTTTCTAGTATATTAAAAGTACGATAAGGAAAAAACACCTGCAATGTGATATTCTCGTGTCTTGTCCGACGAGAGACGTTGTTCTAAGGATATAGTTGACGTTTGCGCATAATTTTAGGGGGAAAAAAAATTGATAGAAAATACAAAAAAAACATTAAGTAATTATAATAATCATCGGATGAGGACGGTTACGCCTCCATGTGTGGGAGGAAGTGGAGTAGATCATAAGAAGAAAAAAAAACAAAAAAATATAAAAAAATGAAAAATACAAAAAAAATGTTCGAAAGGTGCGAGTATGTGATAAGGTTTTCTTGGGAGTGATAAGGCGTGAGTGTGTGAACGGTTGACGTTTGTTATACATTAAGGAAGTATCATTGTCGTGGCTCAAAGATGAATATTGCGGTTTTCCCCCCCACATAATACATTTATTCCCCATTCTATATATATTTTTTGTTGCTCTTTATCTCCGATTGTAGGTTTTTTGGTTGAGAAAAACGAGTGTCTTATATTATTACTATTATTAATTATAAATTATTATTATATATTATATTTTTTTTGGTGTACCGGGTATTTCTTCCGGCGATTTTCTCTAGTGTCGCCTTCGATAGTCTGTAGGATCTGATTTTCTATGCCATTTTAGTTCGTAAGGGTTTTTTTTTTCTATTTTGGTTTTAACATTTTTTTTATTATTATTATTATGTAGCGTTACGTTTGAAGAAAATTAATTAGCAGTTGGAGAAATCTGACGTCGCCATTATTGACCTCTTTCGAAGACACTTTACAAAGTCACAAATCATTATTTTATTTTTCTCCTTCTTGTTGACTATTATTTTTTTTTAATAATTTAATTCGCTAAATAACGTCCCCACCGCTTTTTCAACGCATTGAATATCGATTTATTGTCAAGATCAAAGAAAATGTGTCTGAATCGCTCGACGCGACACGCGCAAAATGATTACTTTCAAGTGCACAAAAGAGGATAGAGAAAGATAAAAGCCCAGATAAAGTAATATTTTATTTTGTAATCAATTGTTTCGGCCAAATATAAATCTGCTCACTAAAACAAATGCATTTAGTTTAGGATTAAGAGATGAAAAACTACATCAACGTCACAATTGGCACTTGATATTCTTGAATTTAAGTTTATTTCTCGTGAGTAATTAACCCAAAGGGGGCTAATCTGCTAATTATTCCTTCTGTCGATAATTTCTTCTTAATTTATTCGAAAAGAAAAAGAGTCAAGTAAAAGGTGTGACTATTGTCGAATCGGCCCTTAAGTCTCGTACCTGAAAAGAAAATTGAGAATTCAAGTGTCCGTGACACTTGAATTCTCACCAATTTCGTTCTCAATTCCGTTAGCTGTCGGTGTGGAGTCGGACTAGTCGCGCATTGTGAAGGAAAAATAAAAATCTAGTAACAAAATTATGAAAAAAAAACCCATTAATCATTGCACACGGTTCCCCACGGCACACGGATTGCGCTTCGTTCCTAGTAATATTTTTCCCTATAATTTAATCTCTGAAGCTCTGCATTAAGCCTAAATAGAGAAAATCACAACCAATGAATCATAAATGCAGGGCGGGTCGGTTCGCGTTAACATTCACTATTAACGCCAGTATCAATCTGTGATCTTGTTGACGATCCATCGTTTTAGCATCGTGAGCTTCTGAGAGTGCTAAATTCATTAATTAATCCCTAAATTAATAAATCTAATGTTAATGAGTAAATAAACCCCCTCGTAAACCGCACTTATTCCACAGCTCGAAGATAAAGCGAATGAAAGGAACAATGATTGAGTAAATAAAAGAAACTATATCAAAAGTAAATGTAGCAGCCCCACTATTGATAAATAGTGTATAATTTTTATTTAAGTTTAAACCACAACTGTCATTGCTGTCACAACTGTCGCTGTAATAGCCATTGTCCTCTCCTATCCAATAATTCAAGAAAATTGTTGAATTGAAGAAAAAAATCCTATCAATTTATTGTTGCATACCACTATGATTATCGTTAATTGTTACATCAACAATCTACTACTCGAAACGATATTTAAATAACTGAATTTATGGTGAAAACGTATTTGTAATATACTCGTAAAAGCAAAAAAGCCTTATATGTATCTCAGTAATATTTTTCTTTCAATTTTTATCATCAATTAATTATTATTGTTTTTCGTTGTAATCATTCGATTTATTTAATATTAAAAACAAAGCGAAGTGAATATGTTACAAATGTGGGTTTTGAGGAAGCAAAAACAGAAAGGGATCTCGTATTTTACTCGATCAACGATTCGTCCATTTGCATCGTGGATTAAAAATTCGTGATAAAGGCAATTACTAAATGAATAAACATGAGAAGAAAACGAAAAACAAAACACAGAGCGTTTCTCTGAAAGCGAGTATTCATTCGAATCTACCTCGAAAGTTTTTTTCCTCGTCGAGGCTGTTCAATTATAGGACTTGTTTTTCTTTTTTCAATTCCATTATATTTTTGTTTGTCTAAGGCAGGCGTTCAATAAGGCACACTGCATTCTGTGATGAATAAAAATGAGAGCAAAATGGAAAATAATCACCTGAAGTCGATGGATTTGTCCTTGATATACTCACAATGATAAAGAGAATGAGATAATTCTCTCATTTTTATCAATTGCAGAATCGACTGAAGGATATTCCAGGATTTAATTCTGCTGTGTGATTCAATGGGTTTGATGGAATCAATAATTTTGTGCCACATTAATTGAGAGAAATAACTGCGGGCCTTGCATTAG